TTTAATTTCATTATTGGGTTTAAATTATTGTAATTAAGTTAAGTGAGTTTTTAGACGTCACCCAAGTGTAGCCGACATAGATTTTAAACGTAGGCTCTGTTTATGGGCCAACTAGTATTTACATTAGGGCTCTGTTTTTAGTCCTACAGGGAATAGGGTTTCAATTAAGTCTATATATATATAGAGCAGTATGTCACCTTAGGGTTTTAGCAATCACAGACCTTATTTACGTTCAGAGTATTGAGAGAACAACAGAGAGGAACAGAGAGGGGTCGTGAGAAACAAACAGAGTTACTTTGGTGAGGGTTTGGCCGTGGCTTACAGGACGGACGTAGGAGAAGGAAAGATGGAGCAATAGGAGATTTAACAATGAATGGGATCGTCGGAAAAACTTAGAACAACGGCAACAGAGTTTTGAATCCAAAACTGTAAAGGCAAGTTTTTTCCTTTCTCTCTCCCGTTGCCTGTGTTCTGTGCATCCTTAGACTGTCTCTAGGGTTTTAATTGATCATTAGTTAATTTATACATGCTTGTTATATGCTAAATCAGATGTCTGTATATAGGGAAGTAATCTGTTTTAGTTCTTGTACCTCTGGTTTCTAGTTTGGAGTGGAAGCATGTTTAATCGGTTAAGGTTTTAAATACTGTATTTGAATTGAACTATTGTGAACAAGGCATAGGGTTGTTGTTAGATGTTTCTAGGACTCTTAAGACCAGATTTAAGAAGCAACAGAGGGGTAGGAAAGGGGTCAGAGATGGAGCAGATCGTCGAAGACGGCGAAGGAACAAACTGGGGCTCTCAAAGGGGAGAGAGCCGGCTCCCCCTTGTGGGAGAGCCGGCTCTAGGCAAAGTGGAGCTTGCTCCACTTGTTTTGGGAGCAAGCTCTTTCTTTTTGTGCATACACTGAAGCAGTTGCGCCTTATTTGGTCCAACTGTGGGTTTTTGAACAATGTCTGGGCTACTGTGATGATTTTAAACACTAATTCATGGAGTATTAAAGCCCTAAGATGCATTAATTTGTTTGTATGCTAATGTTTTAAACAGTAGGAAAATCTTAAGTAAGTCGCAGGCTGTTTAAGGACTTAACGGACCGGAAGGATTTAATTGTGCAAACTATGTCTAGGAATTAAAAAGGGTTGGAACATGGATTCCAAACAATATTACCATGTTATATTAGAGCCTCACATAATAAATTATTGTCTTAGTACTATTGGATTTAACAATAAGAGGGAAAGTGCAGCGGTGCAGGCTGTTAATGGAAGGAATGAATTTAATTGCCTAGTTTAATTTCAGTAATTTAACGGAGTATATTTATATTTAATAATCTTGTTCTAGTGGCATGCTAGGATTATTTAATTAACAAGTGTGATCTATGCATATCCTGGATGTTAATTGTTGAAATACTAAATATTTTTCTACAATGCATGGATTTAAGATTGGAACTTTAGTTGTGGTAATTTTAAGCATTACACTGCAATTATTTGGATTAGAGTTTGGACTTCAATTGGATGTTGGCTTGGAATTAATTGAAGAATTAAATATATTTTCTATCAATTACCTGGATGAATGCTGGATTATAACATGACGAATTAGTAAACTTTGTCTCGTTTAATTACATGGATGGATTCTGGATACGTAGTTGATAACTTGTTTAAATTCTGTGTTTATCAACTATATGGATAATGTGGACTTTATTTGATGTACTGCTTATAATGTTGCATCATTAACGGATCATTTGCATATATGCACCGGTATGGGACGGTGGCATACGGAGGGATGGATTAGGTCACAACGCTAATTCCTACCCATTCATACATACGGAATGGATTAACTAAAAACAGTTAAATCCCACATGGTTTCATGTCCTGTCAACTAAAACAGTTGAACGACATACTGGATGGTTGTTTATATTTCTGCGTTACTATGAATAGGGTTTTAACTAAAACATTTAAATCCTAAATTTTATGTCGTGTCATGGCAATGAATCAGTTGAACGGCACTACATTGGTTTGGATGGGAATTTATATATATATATTATAGTACCGCGATTTGAGCTCGAGTCTCATAGTCGACGGTTAGGGTGCGTATATGCAGTAGGATGCGTAGCTAGCTATGTTGGTTGAGGTATACCCTGTTAGGCTTAGGTAGTCATGCCCACTCAGGTGCGTATTGCATGTTACCTTCTATTCAGGTTGAGACCCTCAGCATAGTTAGTGAAAGTCCTGTAGTGTGGATATATATTTATCTATTACGGACTATATAGATATGATTGAGACGTCTAGGATGTATCTGCGTATCGGGTCTCTGTTTGGATTGTAGTTAGGATAGAACTTATTCGTGGGCCTGACCCACTATTATTTTTCAGGTAACGGACGGTTTCAGGTCTTAGAGCTTGTTCGTGCTGAGTAGAGACGACTACTCATTCTACCGACGATGTAGGGGGTTCTTCATGGTTTAGCAGTGGACTTCTTTTTAGTTGTTCGCTTTCCAGTATTGGCTTCTGATTAGGGGTCCACCAGATGGATTCCCGAGTTGTATTATAATTGGAGAAGTTGGATGTAACAGACTAGTTCTTATTTATAAGATTTATTCTGAAGTTCTTTCTAGCAAATTTTATTTACTCATGTTTATCTTAATTATATTCTGTGTTCGATTATTACTAATTATTTTGATATCCTCGGATAGTCGAGCGTGGGCCTGGCCAACCCGCATTCGGAAATCCGGGGATATTACAGTTACATACAAGTATTGCTTATGATTTTATTTCAGAACTCTACACGGGTAAATGTTTTCCAATCAGAACTTAGCATGTTGATAGACTGACGTATATTATCAATTTTACGCCAAAATAATTCTGCTTAGATTCTGAAATGTTGTAATTGAGTTGTCTTAAATGTTTGGGTTGAATTATTCTATTACTTAACTTTGGGACTGAGCAATTGGGTATGAGCTACCCGTTGGTGAAAGACCATAAATGGTAGACCCTAGATGGATATTCGAAGTTGAATCCCTACTAGTCGAAGGGGGAGAGATAGTTGGGATCACTCTAATTGAAGTAAAGTTGTTTGACAAAAGGCCCAAATGAAGACTAGCTCTTTACTAACTCACTTTAACTCTCAAATGGCTTTGGAACTAGGATTTTCTTTTAGCTACTGTTTTTTTTTTTTCAAATTCTATCATTTTATAATTGGTTTTGGTAGAAACTTGGCCAACGAATTCTCATGTAAATCAGATCATGTACCTAAAACCTCATGGAGGCATTTGTTAAAGGCTTTCCTACTGGGCATTGTCTCACCCTTTTTATTTTTCAGGTCTTGGTGCTCAGGACGGCAATGTTAGACCCGAGCTTGAGTTCCCATAGATGGGATCCTTTTGTGGAGCATCTTGTGCTTGGTGTTTTTGTGTAAAATATTAGCCTGAAGTACTATTTTGTTCATGTTTGATGCCTTATGAAACCATTTTAAGGTCGTGGTTGCTGTGCTAGAGTGAAGATGGCAACATGCTCTCTGCTATGTGTTCTTTAGGACTGGGTGCTGCATCTAGATGCTTTTTGTATAGCCTGCTAATGGTAGCATATATACTTAGTAACTGGGCATCAGAGCTGTGACTCTTTATTTTGGGTGTACAAATTTGGACTGAAATTATCTTTCTATGGATGACTTTATGCAATGTATATATTCTTAGCCTCTTTAGATCTTTGTTATGCCTATGTACTACATAAGTCGTTCATGGGGGTAAGCTCTGAATTTTCTGTTAGAGGGTTTTATTTAAAGAAAAAAAAAAAATCTGTTTTAAATTTTCTCTAGTACTTTCTTGGAAACGAATTTTAATCAGAGGTTGTAGTGCTTCAAACGCTATGAAATTTTTACCATATGTTCCCCTTTGTGTATAAAGTCTCACAAAATTTTTATAATTTTTCAATTGGTGGATATTTTTTTAAAAAAATCTTATATCATCTGCTATTTGGTTTCTATTCATAGTTTGGAAATTGAATTTGAGGAAAGAATTTGACGGCCTTCCCGAAATCAATAAATTATGAAAATTTCCAGTTTTATTATTTCAAATGTCTAGTTTCTAAAGGTTAAGGCCCCAAAATTTTATTGGCTCTTTAAAAGACTAAACAGGCCAAAGTTTTGCACTTGGTTCCAATTCAATACAAGCTGTGAGAGTTTTCTTCCTTCGAAAAACTGTTTTCCTTGGTGTTTTTCTAGCATCCGGGAGTGACTCGGTCACATTGTCATCTGAGTCTAGTTTCTAAAAAAATTTAGTTTGCTTCATTTCGATAATAATTGAATTTTCTATGTTTTTTTGAGTAACCGCTGCGCAAAATTTTCTTAAGTTGAAAACTTTTGTTCCATTATTTTTTTGTTTTAACCTTATTATCACGCCCTATGGTTTTGGGGTGTGACAGATCGGAGTCTGAATTATTGAAGATAAGTGGATAACGTTTCTATATCTCACTTTGAAAGGGTAAAAGTATTTTTATTTTTCTACATTAAAATCAAATTTGAAGAAAAAATTTGAAGAAAATGAGAAAGCGATCTCACTTGAGGAAGCGATCTCATTTTGAAAGGGTAAAAGTATTGGGCTAAAAATCCCATTGTCTCTCAAACACTACTTTATATTACTCACACTTTATTTTTGTTTTGGGTTGTTGAATTTACTTTTATAATCCCATTGTCTCTCTAACTAAACTTTACATTACTTGCACTTTCTCTACTTTACATTACTTGCACTTTTGTTTTGGGTTGTTTAATTTTATTTTATTTTAATAAATTTAATTTAAACAAAAATTAAATAAAAGATTAAGTTGAGCATATTCACCCCTCCAAGTTGTTTATCCATTTTATATTCGGTAAACAACTTTTTACTTTATAATCCCCAATATAGTCTCTTCGAAAATTTTACAAATTTGAATTTCTATATGAATCCAAATTTCTGTAATCCTCAATTTGCATGTGAGTAGGAAAATAATTCAAATAAATTTTTGCACAAAATATTATTGTCAATATCTAATTATAAAAGAAAGTAGAATTATAGTGTTCATAAGATCAAAACTCACATGACGGAACATTATTGCCAAAAACAAAAAAAACGACTGCTATTACTAATTAAGAAGAGGTGGAGTTTTTGGAATCAGGCAATGTGCCTAGCCAAGCTGGTGGTAGCATCCCGGTCTGCTCATGAACTGTCTGGAACATTGGTGGCAACATTTTGTACACCCCAGCAACATCCTTCATCGCGCCACCACTACTGCCCTCACCGCCACCATTGGCCCCGGACCAAATGCTAATCTTGGGCTGCAGTCCGCGCACGCCTTCAGCATTAATCTTGGCAATTTCTTGGAACATACCACTATTGATCATGATGTAATCTCTGAGTGCTCCATAGTTTCCATTGAGTTCTTTGAGAAGGGTACTCAAGTAAGCGCCTTGAGCTTTTGCTATTGCAGTGATTCCTTCAGCTTCTTTCTGCTTTGCATAGAGTTCACCGTCTGCAGCCTTCTGCTTTGCATAGAAGACAGCATCTGCATTTGCTTTCTGTGCCTCCGCTTGCTTCTGCTTCTCGTAGAAAACTGCTTCTGCCGCTTTCTGTTTCCTGTACAACTCTGAATTTGCCCCTTGCACCTATATATTAATATTACATATATATATATATATATATATATATATATATATATATATTTAGCAACACAAAATTAAGAACAATGAAAGGATTATATATATATATATATATATATCACTTGATAAGAGTTGCATATATAATATACCTGAATGTCATAGTCCACACTGGCCTTACTCAGCAACTCAGCCTTGAGTCTCTCGGTCCGAGTCAAAGCATTCTTCTGCTCCAACTCTTTCTGCAACTCAGCCTCCCTTAAAGCCACTGCCTTGGCTGCCTCCACCTCTGCCAACTGTGCATTCTTACCCCAATCTGCCTTCATCGCCGCTAACTTGGCGTTGGCCTCAGCCACATCAGCTTCCTTTTGGTTCTGAAATATCTGCACATCACTCCTCACCCTGACTTCCTCCTTCTTACCCTCTCCTTCCCTCTGTGTGGATACAATCCTCGTCTCAGCGTCAATCTTAGCAGCGTTCTGTGCTGTCAGACCTCGTCGTTCCTTAGCACCAATCTCACCCTTCTTCTTTGCCTCCTCTACATCAATCTATAGACAATTCCAACAATGAATTCGATATTAGAAACAAAATGTGCATTATTACCCAATGTATGCTAACAACAATTAAAAAACATAAATCCTACATTCTGCAATGAAACATCAACCTATAGTAACTCCAATGAAACAATGATGAAAAACATAATGGGCAGCATTATGCACAGGTTTTTTTTGGGTAAAGTAGATTTATTTGCGTTGATGAGAATGGAGGGAGTGGCAACAGGGAGAAAAGTTGATCTAAGGCTTTATCACTCTCATGGACTGCTCACAAGTCACAAACACCTTGATATCCATGTTTGCTAGATGTAAGTCTACGAACCAATATTAAAATAATATGTATATATATTAGTTAATTTCATTACCCGTCCATATATATTCTTGTAAGTTTGTAACTCTGTTTTTCCTGTGGTTTTGTGTTGCACAGACCCGAAAAGTGACAAAGATGGTGTACTCTGGTCTATACACTAACATATTAAGATAAAGATGGATACGGGCTGCTGGCAGGAGATGTATAACATGTTGATACATTTATATACACACACTTATTACTTGCATATACTATATGAAGGTAATATATATGCATACATGGACTGCATGATACCATATACCAACGGGTGGATTATTGAGTATGATCCCAAGATTTTGGCCATTGGTAACACAGATTTGTAAATAACATAGACACTTACTTGTACATAGTTAATTTAAGTTTAAGCATATGGAAATTTGAGGGTACAACATTGAACAACAATAAGAAAAAAAAAAAAAAAAACATGAAGTGCGTATGCTAACAATAATTAAAAAACATACATACTACATTCTACAATGAAACATCAACCTATACATATTACCCTTTGTATACTACAATTTATTCCAGCACAGATTATGCTCACAAACACCTTGTTTGCTAGATGTAAGTCTACTTACCAATAGCAATATATATGAATTATTTTCATAACCCCTCTAAATTATTGTCAATATATAATCTTCAAAGCTGTTGGTTTTGAATGTGCACTGTCCAGAAAAGTGACAAAGGTGGTGTACGCTATAAATAAAGATAATAAAGATGGAGATAGGCTGCTTGAAATATATATATATATACACTGACCTTGGCTTGATTGGCAGCCTCCATCTGGGTTTTCTGTCCTAGGTAGGAGAAGTACTCGTGGCCTGGGACGTCGACGAGTTGTTTGACATTGGCATTATAGATGCGAAGGCCAAACTGATCGAGTTCGAGCTGAACTTTATCAAAAACCTCTTGCTTGAATGATTTGGTGCCGCGGAAGATCTCTTCCATGGTCATGGAGGCGGCGAGGACACGAGTCTCACCCTCAATGACACCCTGGACGAGCTCTGTGACATGCGTGGAGCGCTTGTCATGGGTTGACATGAGCTTGGCATACTTTAACATGCTCTCATTACAGTCCACTTTGGGGCCGATGGTGAAGACTGCCGGGAGGATGAAGGGGAGCTTCTCGGCGCTCATGGCTTGGACTTGGAAGGTGTAGTTCACCGGAGTTAAGTCGATTCTGACCCACTTTTGGCCAGGCCATATCCACTTCTTCTTAGCAAGTACTATGTCTGGATCTGTGATGAAAGATCCTGTGATGGCAAGCACCTCAGAGGGACCAGCTACGCGGTACACCATCTTGTTTGATTGACACCGTGTGTATGTGTGCGTGAGAGAGAGAGAGAGAGAAACTGTGTATGTTAGATAACAATTACAGATACAGAGAATTGTGTTAGTTCTATACCTATATATAAAAAGCAAGCGTTTGTGTTTGTGTATACCTTGAATTGTAGGATTCTAACAGAACGTCCGTCTCCTATTCGAGTCCCAATTCCTTTTCGATCTTTTGCCGAACTGCAGAGACTCTCTAATAGGAAAAATAAAAGAAAGTCTCCTATTTCAATCGGAAATTGAGTCCACAGAGATAGGAAGGCTTCAACATCAAGCTCTGGATTGGATTTCCATCCAAATCCGAATCCTATTCTACTATAGATTAAAATAAAAAATTCGATGAGTCGATTAATGAGAGATGAATTAAACAAAAAAAAAATTCCATAACCTAATTACAACTCGAGTCGGAAATGAATTACGCTGATTTTAAATAATTCAATAAAATTATATATATAATCTCTCCTAAGTCCTAAGTACTAATAAATTTCCTAAAATCTATTACTATTATTAAAAATAAGGTGTTAAAAAATTTCAAATCATTACTAAAAATTTATACCTATATTTATACTATTATTAAAAATTTAATACGCGTCAAAAAATTTAAATCAACATTAAAAATAAATTATCAATTATAGAATTTAAGACTAAAACAATTAAAAAAAAAAAGTTATTAAAATAAAATAGTTAATTAAAGTTGTCAATATAAAATTTTCAAGGCTAAAACAAGTTACTAACTATAGTAAAATAATTTACATACAAATTATTATATTTTTGGACATTCGGTAAAATAGACAAAGGCATTAACTATAATAAATTGACGTTATTATCTTTTAACACATTAAATTATTAATTTAAACAATAAAACCCTTTTTGATTGATTTAATACCCTTTAATCAAATCAGTGTAAATGGGTAACCCATCTCAGAAACCCAATTACTCGCTTCTCAAACCCTAACCCAAACAAGCCTAACAGGTATAACCCTGACAACCCCTCTCTTTCTTTCTGTACACACATATATCTACCACCACCACCAATCACCCCACTACATATGCCGCCGCCGCCTCATCATCATCATCAATATAAAGTTTTGTCAATGGTAAAGCACTCACAGTGAAGACGGTGAAGAACAGACCGGAGCAAACCTAAAGTTTTGTCAATGGTGAAGCACTCACAGTAAAGACGGTGAAGAACGACCGGAGCAAACTGTCAACGGCAAAGAGAGACCCAGTTCGGTGAGATTACCCAATGCCGGAGTACACAAGTCCTGTGAAAGTACCGTACACAGCAGTACCGGAGGCGAAGGCGATGACCAATTTACAGAACTTGATTTGGAGGAAAGAGAACGGCGACAACCACTGAAGTCCACCAGATTTCAACACATCAACCATCTCCTGATTACGAACATAGCACCGCAAAACTCAGCCTTAAAACTCACCACACGCGCCGCTAAAATCTCTGCGTGTACATCTAACGCGCCTTCAAGCGTCTTCTCCGGTGAGCTCAGGCACTGTACCGTCGTCAAACGTCTTCTCACTAACCAGATCCTCGCCGTCGGTAAGGTTCTCATCACCAGACCCGCCGGTCTCCAGTCATCCTCTGCAACGCTCCTGCCGTTTCAGTTCTGTTGTCGCCGTTTCTCTACTGTTCTGAACAGCAGCCGGTGCCGACCACAACTTCGCCGTGCAATCCTTGCTCGCCAGTAGGCCCAGTCTGTGCTCACCAGCTCAGTTCGCGTCTCGCCGGGCACGTCAGTTCTTGCTTCCCGTCGGTGTTGTTGGCGACTTTCTCTATCCAATCTATTTTTCCCGGCAACGCCATTTGGGTCAATTTTAATAAGGGGTGAGAGATAGTGACGGTTGTCGGTTGATGAGAGGGAAGGAACATTGGATTCCTTCATTGTTTGGTTACAAGTTTGTTTTGGCCTAATCTTGTTTTAGCCTAATCATCAAAAACCGGTGTGTGGTGGTTATATAGAGAGAGAGGGGGTGAAGGGTAATTTTGTCACCAAATTAAAATTAATAAAATAGTGAAGGGTAAAGTAGACTACTTACATGTTTTAAGGTTCTATTTGCAAATCTCACCAGGGGTGTTATTGTCCAATCCAAAAGTATGGCAAATTGTATATGTATGTCATTAACTTAAATATGTTATTGTATTTTACCTAAAATAAAATAAGTAATTAAAACAAGTTACAATTAAAATAAAATACGTAATTAAAGTTTATAATTATAGTCGGAAATCTCCAATGCTAAAACAATTAAAACAAGTTACCAATTAAAATAAAATAGATAATTCTTTAATTGAAAATGTGTAAGCTATATAATTATATTAATAAACAATTTTTTTAAAAATAAAATAAGTTACCAATTAAAATAAATTATATTGTACTCGAAAAATTTTATGTTACCAATTAAATATAACATTATATGTAGAAATGTGTTTCAAAAATTAAATATAGATTAAGAAATAGATTAAAACTTTTAAAAAAAAAAACCTTATAAATTAAATAATATTCAAAATAATAAAATAAATTACCAATTAAAATAAATTCTATTATACTCTAAATTCTTCAAGGCTAGAATAAGTTACTAATTAAATATAACATTATATGTAGAAATGTGTTTCAAAAATTAAATATAGATTAATAAATATAGATTAAAACTTAATAATTTTAATTATATATAGAAATGATAATACATGTATTATAGATTATAAATAATAAATGTTTGATAAAAATTCTTCTACTAATTTCAATTTTAGTATGAAGAAATAGAATTAGAAAATAATACATGTCTGGTAAGATTTAAGGAAAGTTATGTTTTTATATATGTATTAAAATAAATAATACTCTTGTTATAAAAAATAAAATAAAAAATTTAAAAAGTCTATAGATAGAATATATGTGAGTTCAAATAAATTGTTTTTTTCTTTGGGACTTGGATCATCTAAGTTAAATTTTCTCTAAATTATCCTAAATTTTTTTTAAAAAGAGGAATTTTGCAATTTAGATTTTAGAAAAAGAGTGAACCAAAGCAATTTTGCAGATTAAATTTCAAAAAAAGAGAAGAATTTTGCAATTTAGATTTCAGAGAAAGAGAAAAATTTTGCAATTTAGATTTTAGAAAAAGAAAGTAAACCAGAGCTTCTAGGCACCAAAAATTGTGGGAAAGAACATTCATTTTTGGCGTGAAAAACTTTAAAGTAAAGTGATCGATCTTTTTCGCAAAAGATAAGGGGGAGAGGACAACTTTAAAGGGATTATACTTGCCTACTCACCGGTGAGTAAGCAATTTCTACTGACTAGGTAGGTGGCACAATAAAATTATAACAAGTGTCCTAAAATTTATAAAATATAAATATATCAAAAATAGAATTAGAACTGGGTTGACCTATTTTTAATTGGATTAATATTATCTTTTACCTTATCTCTGATATGATATAACACAATTTTTTTCTAGTACACTGTATACATCCTTGACCACTATCCCTATAAATATCATAATATGTGTCTAGGCTTTATAAAAAAATAATTGAATTGAAATATAGCATTTGAGAGGTTGGTTTTGCTCACTACCTTCTCAAAGTGAAAAATATGTGGTTGATATGAAGAACCATTGCTCGAATCATAAAATGCTTCCGGTTTGTGCTTAAAAAATAATAATATATATATATATATATATATATATATATATATATATTTTTTTTTTTTTTTTCTTACCCTTCTCCTGTCTAATTTAGGATTGTTGTAGTGAGAATGAGGATTACTTTTGAAGTAGAGATGAATGGGTATTTTAATAACATGATTTTTGTTTGTTTATATATATATATATATATATGTATTTATATTTGTATAGCTATAGTGAAACCCAAATTTTGATCTTTTGATTCCGAAGAACAAAAATAATATATTGTTTTAGGAAGATCTTGTTTTTAGAAGGTATTGTTTTAGGAAGTTTGAATCCTAATTTCTCTTTACTTTAAAAGCCAATTTTGTATTTTTATATGTACAAGTGTGTGTGTATGGATAGAAAAATATGGTTAACCCGATTAAAATGAATTAAATACGTTCTGGTTCTATTTTTGTTATATTTTATATTTTATAAAATTTAAAACACTTGTCATAATTTTATTATGCCACCTATTGAGTTAGTAGACACTCCCTACTTACGGTACTCATCGGTGAGTAGGCAAGTATTATTCACTTTAAAGTAGGGTAAATTTTACTTATTTCAAAATGGTACAGTTTTCAAACTTTGGTAAATTTTTCTTATCTCACGGTGCAATTTGAGATGTGGTTTAACATAAGCCGGTGTCATAAGTTGAATTCGTTATAAATTGACATGTGACATTTAAAATCTATTAACTGCACAATTAATTTAGAGAAAGTTTGAAAATTGCACTGTTTTAAGATAAGAAAAATTTAACTGCACCATTTTGAAATAAGTAAAATTCACCCTACTTTAAATTTGTTCTCTCTCCCTTATCTTTTCCAAAAAAAGATCATCTCTCTCTCTCCTCTTGCTTATTCCTAATATTTGGGAAATATTTCACGCCAAAAGTGAATGTTCTTTGCCATGGAATTAAGATAGACAAAAATGTGATTGGAAGAATGCAACTTTTACCGGCAATAGTAATGATTGGAAAAGAATATATATACATATACAAGCATGGATATTAATGGAGTTAGAAAAATACAATCAAAAGCCCTATATATGGAGAATGTCGTTCAGGTTAAAAGAGAAACAGAGACCATCGCGACTTATTTAAAATAGGAATAAAGAGGAAAGAAAGGGAGAATCTTTTTTTGGAAAAGATGAGGGAGAGATAATGACGTTAAACATTGTTAAAGGATGGTGGATTTTTCTTAATTCAAAATGATGCAGTTTTTAAATTTTGGTAAATTTTTCTTATCTCAAAATTTTCAAACTTTTTTTAAATTAGTTGACGTGGTTTAATACCAGCAGTAAATAAATTTTAAATGTTATGTGTCAATATGTAGCGAATTCAACTTAGGATAATTTAGAAAATATTTAACTTAGATGATCCAAATCCATAATTTTATCCCTACAATGACGTTCAATTTGCAGTAGTGTACTCACTTTTAATCCTGACCTTAGAATCTAATCCTACAATAATTAATTAATCATTGTTTCTTTTTTATATTTAAGAAAATTGCATTTTTTTTATTACCATTATATATTATTAATAGGAAAGGACAAACTGACATGTTTTTAATAGAAATAAATTAAAATCAAATTGGTTAGGATTTTCTTGTATACAAATTACTTCCCATCCGAATTCTCAAAGCATACCAATTAAAAATAAAAAATTAATTATTTCCAATTCCCTTCGTTCCCATCCGTTCAACCAGGGAATTCTATCGTCCCTTTCTCAACCTTGCAATTAATTTATGTGTGTGAAACAATTACTTACTGAATAATCCAATTACAAAGGAATGTTGTACTCTCAAAATATGTTTATTTATATGTGTGTGCATAAAAATGAATTCAAAGATAAGCAAATTCATCAAATCATGTAACCCAATATATAAAATATGAAAGAAAAAGAGAATGGACCACCTCTACCACCTACCCTGGCATTGCCGCCGCCGCCACCATCGCTTGCGGTGGGGTAGGTGGTGGCGGCGGTGGAGGTGGTGGCCAGCTGTGGTAGAAGTGGCAACAGTGGTGGGGTAGGTGGTGGCCAGCGGTGGTGGAGGTGGCGGCAGTGGTGGGGTAGGTGGTGGAAGCGGTGGAGGTGGTGGCCAGCGGTGGTGGAGGTGGCGACAATGGCGGGGTAGGTGGTGGTGGTGGCGGCGGTAGAGGTGGTGGTGATGGAGGTGAAATGCGTCGTGGCAATTCAAAGTTAATGGTATTGAAAATTTCATTATTTTTATTCTTTTTCAGATGTGATTGCCTTTTAACCTTTATCATCGAAGGAATTGGAAATAATTAAATTTTTTATTTTTAATTGGTATGCTTTAATGGGAAGAAAATCCTAACCAATTTGGTTTTAATTTGTTTCTATTAAAAACATGTCTAATTTTGTCATTTCCTATTAATAATATATAATGGTAATTAAAAAAAAAAAAAAAAAAAAAACAACAACAACAATTGCCTTAAATATAAAAAGGAAACACTGATTAATTAATTTTCGTAAGATTAGATTCTAAGGTCAGGATTAAAAGTAAATATATTATTCTATGCTCACCAGGGAGCAATTGAACGTCACAAGGCCACAATGGCATTTAACAAAAAGCTATTTAACTTAGAAGACAAGTTAAAAAGCTTTTTTCTTTATTATTATTTTTTTTTTTACAAAAATTTAATAATCGTGAAATGATGAATATTTTTTTTTTTATTGACAAAAAATACACTTACACACCTATTTTTACCTCCACAAGACCTTCAACTCTGGATTTTATATTTTGAAAGGCGAGGAAGTACTATAAGGTTAAAAGGCCCTGGGTCAAATGGTGAAATTTTCTGTAATGTTTTTTAAATTTCATTAGTTGATTCTTGACTGACCGACTTATGCTATCTTGTATGTGATTGTATAGTGCATACCAATGCGCATGTGATTGAAGAATATTTGATTTAACTGAGTTACAAATTTTGCAACACAGTTTTGCAAGGAAAAATATAAAGATTAATGAGCATTAAATACAATATTTCTAAAACTTTTGGAAGTTAGCGAGCAAAGTGAAGTTCCTCGAATGTATTCACAACAAAGCAGGTAAAAAAGTAATTATGAGAAAGAAAGGAGCAAAAAGTCACTCAACTTAAAAGACACAGTAAAAAAGCTTCTTTTATAGGAGGCGCACAACCACGACTCTCTGTTCTATGTATTTTAATAGGCATTTTATTTTATGGTTCATATTCCATATTGACTCTCATAGAGACCATTAAATGTACAACAAAGCAGGTAAAAAAGTAACTTGCTAGTATCTAAGCAAGACAAAAATGACAAAACCTACCGAGGTAATCACCACATGTACTAGTCTAATATCCCAAATCTTAGGGTATTAGTATGGTTATTTACAGACTCAACTTTACATAATAGAAGCTTCCCAAGTCACAAAAGTGTTATACCTCTACTACAGTAACAAAATCAAACCTATTATATAAACACAAGTTGGCTTAAGCAGCACTCATATAAACAGCCAGCATCGATTTCACACAGCACCAACATTTAATCCTCAGCTTCTCCTATTATTGTTCTTTCTGGTTCCTTTAGTGCCACTTCTTGAAGAGGACTCTATTTGAAGGGGCAAAATGTCGCCATCTTTGATTTCACTTGATGCCGGCATCTGTTCTACTCTATTCCCAGCATCGATGAACTCCATCAAATCCTTAAGCTGCATTTACTCGACATAGTAGTAAAAAAAGATTCATCAGTATCTTAAAGTTGCATGATTGTATGTGGTGAAAGCTTAGAAACCCAAAGGTCATGTGATTTGACAAGTGCATTTTACCTGTTCCTCCAAGTCTTGTATTTTGTCATCCTTAGGTTTCAAAGCCGCCTTCTCCCTAGAATAAAAGGAACTCAAAAAAGAAGTTATCAGCATCTAGTTGTCAAATGAGATTAGTGGGTAATCTGCATCTTCATTGTCAGCTTTCAGTGAAAAACAGGTTATGGTAATGAAAGCTGCAGACACTCCTCAAAAAATCCATCTATCATCACCAGACAGTAGGAGGAATGATAAACAATGGGAGGTTAAATTCTTTTACAGAACAAAAATGAAAAGATGAAATTTGGTAATCTAAATGAAGAATTATTCTTCCACTAAGATCATGCTTTTGTTCATCATAATGTGAAGACATTACTTAACAGAAAAGGACTAAGGATGCGACTTAACCCAGGAGAATCAACTTAAGTGGTAACGGAAGACAAGGACCCACAATGCTATTGTAAGGAGGACAAACCTCCACGGAGGACTTTCAATATGGCTCAAAAAGTAGGCCACCACATATCCTACAAGCTCTAGAATCTCTCTACTCTACCATTATGGGAATCTAGCTGTTAGTTAATGAGATAAAAATATAGTCTTGCATAAGCATCAGAAGGATGAATAATTGAGGAAGATAGCCATACCTTTCTTCAATTTCCCCTATCTTGGCTTCCCAAATCTTCTGGTTCCTTATAAGATTATCATTTATCTACACGTAAAACAAAAGGATTTTACATTCCCTAGCATTAAAAAACACAAGCAGCTCAGTAGTAGTACTACTAAATGACTCAAAAGAATATAAATATCTACTTCTGAATTATCTAATTACCAACAATCGAATTTGCAAGAACCTAACAAAGAATAGCAAAGATAGCAATTATAGATACTTACATCATCAAGAAATTTCTTCTCTTCAACACATTTACCAAGCTTAGTTTGCATCTTTTGTAGCTTCTGATTCTGACTCAGAGCTTTCTCAACAGCTTCAGAAACTTCTCTTTCAGTTTCTTCTTCAACTTCTCGTAGTAAAGACTCAAAATACTATGATCAAATCAGAGACTGTTAATACGATAAGCAGATGAAAGTCATTATCCTAAATATTTAGCACTACCTGCATCTATCAACAAAGGATAATAAACTAGCAAAATATAATATCAGAAGATCCAATGTCCAGGAAAAATTAAATCTACTAAGTTAAGTTTAATGTCAAGCTCAGGCATAGAATTGGGCCCCAGTTCATTCGCTCATGGGATTGAAGGAAATGAACTTACTATTTTTTGGTTCTCAAGTTGCGTAGTAAGGAGGTCATTGTACTCGTTGACAATCTGCAGATGATAGAATCTTAAATGAGTGGGCAGATTACAGGAAGTGAATAAATCTGAAAACTGAGAGAACCAATCAAACTTATATAGAAAGAGTTAATTAAAGATGAAGGTGAAAAAAGAAAACATTACAGCTTCAACTTTACTGTTCAAGAGAGCCTCAGTAAATCCAGGATCTAGTAAACTACAGTCACAACTACCACAACCATCATCAGCATGCACACAATGGTGATTCAACTCAACCAACTTTCCATCAGTTTTAGATTGAATCAAACGGTGAACATAATTGTCTCCAACATAATCCCACACACGACGCGTTTCCAATTCAAGGGAGTAACAGTGCTGTGTTTCTTTCCAATGTCTTATAGAATGCCCTTCTTTATACCTACAACAACATTTCTTAAATGAAGAACTGCAGATGACAACAGTGCTTATTGTTCTGTGTAGGAAAGTATAATCACACACTTGCCAAAAAGAGAGAAGTATAATGGCATGATGAGAAAATTGAAGCTATTACCTCCCGCATCCAACAAAGCCACAAATAACACAAATCCATAGATTCTCAGAAGTTTGACAAACAAAACATATTGACTTCTCAGGTTGCTGTTGGCAATATCGGCATACCTGTAATAACATGTAGAATTCAAGTCAACTGCCAATTACCTTCTGTGCAAACATTCAGATAGAAGAAGACATTTTACTAATTATGGCACCAATTGACAACCAATTGGAACTCTAAAAACAATTGGAAGATAAAAGAAAAAGAGAACTCAATAGTACATGACAAGGAGGCCAACTTGCAAACCACGAGTTTGCAATTTTATAATACAAAGGGTTACATACCATATTTTCTTAATTCTTTTTTTCTGGAATGCTCTTGTTTATTGGTACAAATCATTTTCCTTTTCTTTTGAACCAAATTGTCATGTCAGAGTACAGTTCAGGTTAAGATATAGTTACTTATCAAAAAAAATATATTTTCTTAAATTCTTTTTTATGAATGCACTGCATAAGTTGCTCACTCTTAAGTATTTACCGAGTACTGAAACAGTATAATTTCACAAACAGCTATTCAAATTTAACTCAAGAAAAAAGAAATTGTAATCTTAAATGACACAAATTATTCATAATCATAGTATAGGTACCTAGTCCATCGACTTTATGTCTGACCAGTGACCACTGCCACATGGCATTGACCCTGATGACCCATCAATGACATTAACAATAATGACATGATGGAGTCCATGATGGTACGCACCCTCGCAATGCAAGATTGGTCACCACCATCCTAACATCTTCGGGACTGCACTCGATAAACATTCTTGAGTAAAGAAGCTAATCTCTTCTTTTGTGAAACAGGTATAGGTCCAAAAAGAAGGCCTACGAGTCTATGACAAAACACATGGGGATCCCCTAAGCCCTCAAGAGTGGCATTTCTCTTATAAATCAAGGACCTTCTCTGCAGGAATAAGCCTCAAGGTCAACCCATATGTACGAGGATTTCTTTGTATGGATAAGCCTCAAAGACCCCAGGAGGAATTCCTCTCTGTGTATACTGTATAACCAAACCTCAAGGATGAACTGAAGGGCTCCAAAGAGCTTGTCAACAGATAAAACCTTGAGGATGGGCTGAAGGTCCTCGAAGAGAACCAATCCATGAATAAAGCTTGAGGATGGACTGAAAACCCTCAAGTCCTGGGAGGTCTCTATACAGATAAACATTTAGGATGGTCCTAATGCCCTCAAAGGATTCTCTATGGATAAACCTCGAGGATGGACTGAGCTCCTCTATATGGACAAACCTCGGATGGACTGAGGCCCTTGAGCAGTTCCTCTCTATGGATAACCTCAAGGATGGAGTGATCTCTCGCAAAAAGGACAAGGCCTTTCTTAGTTCTGCTCCTATGGGATCCTGGGGAATATTGGCCTGGTGACAAGATCTGAGAATTGTGGAGGGACTCCACTATGTTGCACACACAGCAATCATCCCTCGACCTGTTACAACGAAAGGTAGAGAAGCAAATTCCCTAAGAGTCATTGCATTTATTGTTGATTTTCCTAGTCCAAAGTCGTACTCACACTAAATGCATGTCCCCTTTCCTTGCCCTATTGCTGTCACATCTTTCCTTTAAGGAGACCGGTGGTGAAAAGTTTAATTCCTTTACACCAAAGTCCTTACCGAGGGCAAGACAGTATAAAATGAGTAAATGGGTCAATTAAAAGAACCAACTACCAAGAGAGAGATTTTGAGACCAAATGAGTGATTGGCCATAGTTTTAAAGGAGATTACTAAGAAGCTCCCTCATTCTCTCTCTTTAGATCCTCCCTCATGGACCATTTACGACAGCACAAATCTCTATTGAGCCCTCTATTCCTTGTGGCCACATTATAGTTGAAGTTATTATTCATATCATCAAACCTCATACATATAAGTAGCTGCGCCTTGTGTTAACATCAACTTAAATCAAACCATTTACAATCCCTAAAGGTGACTGACAAATGAAAATTAATTCAACATTTGCATGATATATTAGCACCAGCTTTAACCCTGTAATTCCAATTATTCAAAATAGGAATGGAAGAATTAATTGCTTAGGCTTCTCAATCATAAGGGAGGAGATTGGACAGAAGATTCGACTTAAATGATCTGTATGAAATTCATTTTTTATATATAAGTGGAACGAATTCCAAGCCAAAACCAATAAAAACACAATGTATGTGTCCTTAATAAACATGTCTGTGTATGGATATGCAAACACAAGCACACAGAAACACATTGAGGCAGCACACCTACACTAGGGATGATATGAGGAGTAAGAAGAGAAAAAAGACTGAATTTAAATCTATGTTTTACTCTCACATTGAATTTAAATCCATTTTTACTCTCACAAATAATGACACTTAAATATTCGATATTTTTAGATTTATACAACCTTTAGGACCAGTAATTTCTGTTAATTTTGTTATTGGGTCCAACCTTATGGCTTTAGAGTCTACAGTGGTTGAGATCACGAGGTCCCACGAACTGATGTGTACATAATGAAGCTCCACCCATCATCATAGATCAATTCAAACAAAGCAGTGACAATTATAAAAATTACTTACCGGACAAGAAGAGTCCGTCCATTTAGAAATACAAGAGGAATGAAAAGAATGATTGCAGATGGTTGTGAGAATTCCACCCATATCTTGGTCTAATTTCTCTGCAAGATGGGGAAAAAATAAGAGAAATCCAAATGCAAATACAAATAATAATAATGTCACTAGCACACAATCTCAACTGGCCAAATATAACCATTAATTAATCCATTTGGATAATAAAGGAAGACAAACTAAAAAAATAGGCAAGGTGATGAAGATCAAAACATGACCCGTACACGAGCCGCGCATGACATCTATGATTGGAGAAGGAATGAGATTCTAGTGTTTTCCTATATATTTTAGGAATTATAATGTTTAAGCATTATCTATATTTTGGTTTTTATATTCTTGGCAATAATTTAATAATGAGTAATTAGGACTATTAGAGTTTGCCTATGATTTTGCCTATAGATCAGCTCTTAAGTGTATGTTTGATGATTTATTAATAATATTGACATTAGTAGACAAATTTTCTCCTCCTAAATTCTTCTTCTTCTCTCCTTTATGTTTCTCATCAAGTGACATTGGAGCATTTCTGCCCTAGAACAGTTGGTATCAGATTTTCAACAGTCCAAAGAGATGGTGCTATTTACAACAGAAACATCATTGACTTATCAATCCAACAGAGAGGGCCAAGCGAATTGCTTGTGCTTTAGTGCTTTTCTGCAATTATCAACCACTAGATGTCGATCCTGCGGAATATTCCTACTTATTCCTTACAAGTTACAAGTAACAGTTTAAATATTAAAATCAAAAGTATTTTTGATACTTACAAAGTGTTCATTTTGCTTTATTAGCTTTCAATTTTTGTTCCCAAGCTATAAATATTTTAAAACTATAAAGTTTTCTTTACAGCACAACAATCAAAAAATTTTATTTCCAATTCAAGGGTTAAAAAAGACATACCAAGACAGACTGGACAACTAGGTTGCTCTGTAGAGCTTGCAGGAGAAGTCTGTGCATGTTCAATCGAACCTGTGTATTGTACATCAACCATGAAAAGCACACAACAAGCTTCTACCTGTGTGCAAGCACAAAAATTATGATAATGTTATAAAAAAGATTACAAAAAGCTTTCAGATAAAAATTTGTAATGATTTTGTTGAACAAAGAAGACCACTAAGAGCAAAGCAAACCTCAAGAGATGAAAAACGTTTCCCATTAAAATGCTTATAAAAAGCATCTGTTGAGATTTGATCGTCAAATCTTATCATAATACTATATCGATCCTCCATTCCATCATTCCTAAACCGTCAAGCAAGACAACAGAAATCAGACTGAAATTCAAGAAAACCAACACCCTTTCCCATATTAAAGACATTATAATATCAAAACAGAACCTGACAATTCGCAATTCCAACATATGCTGAATAAATGATCCACAAAACTGACAGAAATCTGCATATGTCATGTGATTCGGCACACCAAGCACACAAACAAGGGGTTTCCTACCAACCTAAACAACATTAAAAAGACATGAATAAACAATGAATCAGTTACTTGAAATTGTGATCATATTTTCCAAGTTATTAGATGAATTCAAATATAAATAAAGAAGAGAAAATTTCAATATTCCACATGAATTTTTTGAATTTCTACTCAAACCATATACTAAAGGAGCAATGCAGAATCAAAAAGCAATTAAGCCCTGAACAGACAAGAGTAATTTGTAAACAAAAAAAAAAAAAAAAAAATTTAATAATAATAATAATCCTATAGTAGTTATGCATAGACCTGTATGTAATTCAGTGGGGGCAATTTCCCCCACTGATTTGTTTTTTTGGTATTATACCCTTGTGATTTTTTCTTTTTTAATTATATACCTATCAAATCTCACCATTGCCACCACTGAAATTACTAAAAAAAAATCACTATTGTCACATAATTTTCTGGGTCCGTCCTTGATAGTAGTCATATTACACTAAAATTTAAAGGTTTCAAGTTTCTATGAAATTCATAATTTACAGAAACTATCAACAAATAAATAAATAAAACAAGCATTCCTTACTTGCTGAAAATATGAATGTAAAAAAAAGTATTTGAGTCTTCAAAATTCCATTATCAAATATCCAAGAAATCATAATCAATGAAGCCTAAACTAAATTTTGTTCGCTGGTTTCTCAAGTAGCAGTTGGTGGATGCACACTCCAACAGGTTAGGTTGATAATACTGTACAATTCTGAAATCTTTTTTCTTCTCTAATCTTTTTTCCTCGGCTCAATTAAAAACTAAAAACATATAGTTTAGATTTCCAAAAACAATTTAATCTTGATAAAAAAATCAAATTTCTATTGTATAATCCCCAATAGTTACAAGGGGAGTCTTGTCCCATATCATATCCGGATGGGAAGTGAAATGAGTATAAATGGGTTGGCTATTAGCTCCACCTAACAACTTTAGCTTTTGGGTCGGATCGCGAAGCACCCGACCTGTTAAAGTTGGTATCAGAACCAGACCAGTCCTTGATCTGGTATCATGCCGAGTGCCCCGTCTAGAAGTGTGTGGGTGAGCCCATCTAGGTAGGCATGGTTGCCCAACCGCTATGAGGGCATTGCGAGTTCGGATGGGGAAGAATGTTATAAGGGGAGACCTGTCCCACATCGGATCTGGATGGTAAGTGAAATGAGTATAAATGGGTAAACTGTTATCTCCACCTACCAGCTTAGGCTTGCTTTTGGGTCGGACCGTGAAACACCCAACCAATTACACCAATATAGTTTATGTTGGTCATTACAAAGTTTATGCTACCTAATAATCCCCAATATAGCCTTCGGGTCAAATTTCCAAATTTGAATTTCTATATGAATCCAAAGTTCTGTAACCCTCAATTTGCTTGTGAGAAAACAGAAGAAAATAAATTCAAATAATTTATTGCACAAAACGATGTTGTTAATATCTCATTATCAAAGTACTAGATTTATTGTGTTCCAAATAAATCAATAATTGAGGATTCAACGTATTTAATATTACTTTTTTCCCACAAATCTCAGCAACCAATAAAGTTTTAAGTCCATAGTTCGATATATACCTTGTCAAAGTCGGGTTTCATAAAGAATCGAAATTTGAACACGTGGTAATAATAACACAACAACAATAAAACAGAGAGCAAATTCACTACTCTGATGATGTAACTCTCAAGTTTGTAAGAGGATTAACAATTCTACATAGATCATCACGAAATTGAATTGTTCAAATTAAAAAGAAGGATGAAGAATCCAAGCTTACAGGCAGTTCTGAAGAAGATGATGCGACATCGTCCTGGTAGAGATGCATGACACCTCTGGTCTCTTCGATTCTAGGGTTTCCAGAAGAGAAAGGAAAGGGCTGAGTAACCTTAGATACGGAGGATGAGGAGTCAGTGAGGTCATCGGGAATTATGGCGGCTGACGGCCTGAATATGTCCCCCGTCAAGGCTCCGGCGTATGCGTTCGCACTTGTTGAAGTGGCCTCCGACATATCTGAGGGAGGGAGAGGGAGAGAGGACTTAAACAGAGTGAGAAATTGTATGCGGCCGATATGCAGAAATAAATCATGTAGCTGCCACGTCTCATTTATATAGTCCTCCCAATTTTAATGCTCTTAAAAGATGTATTCAACACTTTTAAGAATATTACTCTATTTTTTTTTTTTTTAAAAAAAAATTTATTATTCTTGAAACTAATTTTTATTTGGTTCAAGAAAAATAGAGAAAATGTGAAAAAAGTATAAGAAAAATAGTTAATTTTAAATGTTTTCTTCTATTTTTTTTAAAGAGAAATATTTTCTGTCTTTCCTTCTTTTTTTTCTTTTTTTTTTTTCTTACCTTTTTAATAAATTGAAGAATATTGTAGTTTGATTCAATTGTTATTCACAAAACTCAAGCCAATGGGTCTTAACTCTCAATTAAAGCTCTCTTTAGTTAGATAAAAATTACAAGAAAAAGAAAGAAAATGAATCTTTTAAAAACACAATAATATCCTTAATACCTTTTCTTTTTGCACAAATATATATATATTTTTTTAATTATGTATTTGAATTCATAAAATTTAAAAATTGTGCAAATAAATCTATCTCATCCCTTTTTGGCCCAAATTGACATAAAGTAAATTTAAAAGCCTTAATTTGTTCTTTTCTTTTCCTATTCTTTGGACTTTACGTCTCTCCTACGCCCCTCACCACAACCAGTGGCACAGCACAACCACCGCCAAAATCAACGGTAGCGGGCATCACCTCCATCGGTGGCGACAACACCCATCTCTTAACAGCAACCATCATCGCCACCCCTCAACCACCAGCGGCGTCATAACCATTATCCCGAACCCCATAGCCGGCAATGAAATCTTTATAGCCAAAGTTCGGCGCTGATCTGTTGAGTTGACTCAGTGTGTCATCTCACAAAGCCATTTCACTTATCAGATCTAATTTTCTGATGATGGCGTGATGGAATTGTAGGGATGGCGACGAGAGGTTAATGGAAGCGAGTAGATTCGGGCGAGGAGAAAATGAAGATGCGAGGACTGTCGACGACGATGAGTTTTGGTTCGTTGTGGTAGAGAAGTATGGAGACGATGCGAGGGGCAAGACGATTGTGTCAACCTTGGTGCCCCGATCGCGCTGGCGATGGATACTTAAGGTCAAACCCGGCGTCTTCGACGATGATTGCGCCGCCAGTGGACGACGAAACCAAATATGAACAATGGATTCGCTGATCACCCATAACCCTTAAACCTTTCCACCGTCGTCACCTCCTCCTCTGCAACCCCTCACCGTCGTCCTCGTAACCTGTAACCCTTTTTTTTTTTTTTAATATTATATAATTTTTTTGTACACATTTTTTTTTTTTTTTTTTATTGGGCCACCTAACCAATCAGGTTGACTGACATGTGTCTTGGTCTAAAATGGTAATTTTATCTTATTTTATTTTTTTAATATTATTTTATTTTACTAGCAAAAGGATATTATAGTCATTTTATGTAGACAAAATATTTACACCAAATTACAAGTAGATGGGTATTTTATACCAGTGACTTTTTTGCATTATATTTATAATACAAGGGGTTATTTTTGCACTTAATCCTTCTTTTATAATAAGTTTCATGTTATTCAAACTATTAAATGATATTTTTTCATAATTTTCTTGAAAAAAAATTAATGCTAAACAAATAAATATTAAAAATTTTAGGGACCGCTTGGATTGCAACTCCCAAAACAGTTTTCTGTTATGGGAGTTACAAAAAATTAAAAACAGTTTTTTTTTTTTTTCCTACTTGGATTTGTTTCTTAAAAACAGTTTTTATAAAACTGAATTATCAGAGTCACAGTTTTATGAGAACAAAAAAAATTGTTTTCCCTTTTGATAATCAAGCTTTATTCTTCCTTCCTCTTATTATTCGTCAAATTTTCCTTCTTTACTTCTTTCCTAGTATGATATATAAAATTAATGAAAATCATATACCCATCTTAAAAAAATTATCTGGATCCTCGTTCACTTATTCTGGTTCCAATATCTATTATTACCTCATTGTTTCGGCAAAAAAAAACTATTGAGTCCTATACTTCAATTGAAAGTACAAATGCATCAACAACATTAACCTTACCCTAAAAATATAGCACTATTATTGCATAATTTTGTTCTTAAGTAATAATTTCTTCAATTATTTTGACTAGAGCTAATGACATATTCATGCTGTAATAGCAAAAAGTTTTCCTTTTTAATCTGCTCATCGGATAATTGTTAATGATTTCTTGCAGACAACTTGGTGAATAATGGTGGTTTTGAGGAAGGTTCTCATAGGTTGATGAACTTTTCCAATGGTGTTCTTCTTCCTCCCAAACAGAAGGATCTCATATCCCCACTCCTTGGCTGTTTGATTGAAGCATTCACTGCCAAAGATACCCTGAAAAGTTCCTTCAAATACAAGGGCAACGGCAAGTTCAAGACCGCTAGTTTCAAGTTCAAAGCAATTTCAGCTAGGACTAGACTAACATTCATCATGTTATACTATCACACTAGGGTAGATGACTTTGGTTTGCTTTGTGGTCCTATCCTGCTTGATCAAGTTAGGGTTTTCCCTGTTGGTTAGAAATGTTAATCTGTCATCATCACCAAACTACAAATGGATCATGTGTTATATTAGAATTGATGCTTTTGCAATAGCCATTTGATATCTCTGTTGTAAATTGGCCACTTGGTCCATGTATGATTCACACATTTTAATTCAACATTCAACAACATTTTCAGTGGTTGCAACCAGTTCAGGTGCCAAATAAAATTGATAAACTCCTGCCAGCAAACAAACTCCTTAAAGTAATTCATGTAACCCTTTTACTGTATTTAAATTTAGTCAAATTTTAATTAAACTTGATATATTGTATTTGTGCAACTTTTATTAAGTTAAGAATACTAGCTAAAATGAATTCACCTCCAACACTTATTTAAAAACAAATATATATATATATATATATACACACACATTAATAGTTAATATTATAAATTAAAGAAATAAAAGAGTAAGGTAAAATAATATTTTTCTTTATTTTCGTAGTTCAGAAAACTATTTTCAATAAATGCAACCAAGTAGTTTTATGAGTTTTTGTTTTCCGAAAACTGTTTTGTAAATTCTCTTAACCAAACAAGTTTAAAATCTGAGAAAACTGAAAATTATTCTTGAGAATTGTTCGTGAGAATTATTTTTATAAATGAAATCCAAGCAACGCCTTATTTTCGTTTTTATTGATTCCACTTTTTCACTATTTATTAAATTTCATCTGACCAAACAGAGCTTAACTGACACGTCTCCATCGGTCAAATTGGAGTTTGATTGGATGATTAGTCGCTTGAGCAATTTGATCCGACTTCTTTAGTCAAATTGTTTATGAATTTTTGATGTAGAACAACTCAACTCAGTGTTGACTGTCCAAGGCTGCTTATAAGTTAAAGCCAGAGTGGATGATGACCGTTGCCTATCTAACAGCAACATTCCAGCCCAGCATTGATTTCAAAATTTCAAGGGCCTATAACTTGGAGGGTAGAGAGATTCGGGCAGAAATATTTGCCAGTTAAAGATCCCACTTCCATATATTTTGTATTTATGACCTATTAAAAGCGCATTCGGTCAAAGAATTCTCTACAATTCTTCAGTATTAAAATCATTTTCCTAACTCGGAAGTTGGAAGTATAAACCAGCAACACACATTTTGAGCTACTAAAAATTTGAAACCAACTGAAAAAGGAATTAGGGCCTCGACTGCAGTGATTCAATTTTGCCAGAGCACCAAAGTGTGGCAAAACAATTTTTAGCCATAGCCTGTTAGATGAGTTGTTTGCAGTACCCGGAGAATAACAAATTGAGGCGGTATGCAAATCAGAAATTCCTGCACATGCCTTGTACAAATACCCAATTAGTAGAACACCGTGTTCATTAAATTCCCTCAAACAAATCCATAAACAAAGCACCATTTCTCTCAGAAATATTGGTAATCATGGCATCATATTTCCACTCCATGTTACACGTTTCAGATAAATATTCAAAATGCAACTTATAGCTTAGATAAGAAGAAGAAGAAGAAGAAGAAAGAAAGAAAGAAAGAAAGAAAGAAAAAGGAAGCACTACTTGAATCCTTCAATGATAATCCTGGAAAACATCTGACTCTTCTAATCTTCCAACTGAAAAATGTGACTCTCTCAAAATCCTCCAGGAATAGAGAAACAAAAAAATGAGCTCTTTAGGGTTCATCTTCCATGATTCATATGGAAGCTGGAATTTTAGTATCTACCGACTTCAACACCTCTTCACCCATCGCCTTACATCCTACCAATTTCTGCACAAGCAAGTGTTAGTCATTTACAGTCGGCCAAATAAATAATAGAACATGTAACATAGAATGTTACTGACGAGGGAATTTTTTGTATTCAAAGCGAAACTATAGTAGAGGTGAAGGGAAAAGTAATAGGAAGACACGTTTCATCCTCCTCTCTTGGTAGTTAGTTCATAACCATCCCTCAATGGCTACCAGACATTGAGGAAAGCAAGTGCACAATCAGGATCCTCTATTTGCTAGTTCTCAATCAAAATGTGAAGTACCTTCTACTTCTCTACTTCTCGACTTCTCAACAAATTTAAAAATGAGCAAAATGAAATGTCAAGTGAATAAGCTTAAATACCTTCATAAATCATACTTTAAAGGGTAAAGTGCAATAAACCCCCCTCAACTATGCCCTAAGTGCAACTAATCCCCCTCAACTACAAATAACCCCCTCCAACTATGTGATTTGTTAAGTTTTAGGACAGAGAAGGTATTTCCGGTACACTTTCATCACCGAAATTTGTAAAGACCTTTTTACCCTTTGCATAATAAGTTGCTCTTTAATAATGAGGTATTGTTATAAAATTGGCTAAATAACATTGGACCATGTAATCAGAAGAGCCACTAAAATTTGACATCTATACAGCCTTATCGCAACAAACCAATGATATTCAACAACACAGGACAATTATCACCTCCCACAACACTCGTCAATTTCTTGACGTGAAGGAAAAAAAAATTGGAGAAATTTTTTTTCAGAAAGAGGTATATACAGTGGGAGGGAGAGAGGAGAGGAGAGGAGAGAGATGCTCAACATGGTGAACAAATTTTTTTTCTCTTCTATATCAGGATTTTGGAATGAGTAAAAAGGCATGTTTCAATGCAAGAATTTAGGCATCCATAATTCCTTATTTACTTTGACAATCCAATTCATCACCATCCAAAGTTCCAAACCCAGTTTCAGACTTTTTTTTTTCCTCGGTAAATGAACCTAGTTTCAGACTTCCAACACTCAAACTTCAGATTTTATAATTCAATTTTCAATTGTCCACTTCAACTGTGATTCTTGTTGTGGACATGTAAGTATTGGCGTCGTCTACAACTACTTCTCTCCGGTCTCCGGCGACGACTTCGTCTGCAAATCAATCAAAAAATGCGAACTCTGTGATCAGACCAATTGCAATTGCCTCGAAAAGGAACCAAAGATTTTGCAGCTCCTGAGTGCAAGCCCTAACATTCTCCAAATCAACGAGGACAAGAACTACCACCACGTCGTCACTGATCTCTGTAATTCCTCTAATCTCTACGATCGTATGCGATTCCTTCGATCTCTACCACTGTATCTCAAAGCGCACATTCTTTCGCAAAATTGAACTATATATATATATATATATATAGGCAGAATGAGATATAGAGAGAATTGGGTTCGAGCGACAAATTTAGGAAGATGAAAATAGAGACCTTAGGGTGTGTTTGGATGGGTATAGGGTTGAATAGTAATAGAAGGGCACTATGGTCTTTTACTTTTTATAAGGGCTATATGGTCATTTAATTAAATTTGGATTTTCACGTGACTGGCCGGTCGCCGGATTGGGCAAATTGCAACCAAAGGGGTAAGTTGAGGGGGGTTATATGCTACTTTAGTAGTCTAAGGGGGTATTTTGATAGAAGGGATATAGTTAAGGGGGGTTTATTGCACTTTACCCTACTTTAAATAATAAGATAAAGAAATAAGTTTCAGGTTCAACACTCCTAGGCTTCGACAATGCACATGATTTGCGAGTGATTGCATATACCCCTAATGTTAGTCTCAAGAGTCAAGACAAAAGGGTTGGGACACCCTAGCTAAAAAAAAAAAAAATCAGAATGCCATCAAATCACACAGACCCATCCATGGAATGAGGCTAGGAGAGATGGAGATGACAGTGATGTGTACTTGTGTTCATAAGACTATTTTATTAGAAAATACTTTTGTTTGGATATGGAATACTGTTCAGTTAACTTGGGACTATTTTTGGTAGTTGCAAGCATATTGAATATATATATATATATATAGATATATTAATCTATTATTTGTTTACAGTGCCTAAAAGAAAGAAAACAGGCTTCACGCTCTTAGGAGGACTTCTGCGAAACCCCCACCAAGTGGGCTTTCTCCATCATCTATATTTCTTTTATGTTCTGAAGGCAGCCAATATCAGACATCCTATGATTAATTAGAAGATGCTCCTCCAGATAGCACTATAGAGCAATACAGCTAAAATATATTCCTTAGTGACACAACAACTGGACATTCTAGATTAATGGCCACAAGCATGAGGCAAAGAAAATATAAGATCAGGTGCCATCTAGTCCGTAATTATGCCCTTCGCTCCCCTTTTATTTCATTTTGTTCTTTTTCCGCACCACAAAAACCAACCAGAGCAGCAGGAATGATGAACAGGCTGTCAAGCCTGAAGCGTGAGAAACAGGTTTCACTATCTGGTGCACTAGTAAATGCACAAGCTGTCAAGCATGAGGACCGGGGTTCAAATCCTGAGAACAGGCACTTTGTGTAAATAATGTTAATGGTTAGGTTTGTGTTCCAGAGTACCACTCCTAGCACCCTTGAATAGAAGAGATTACACTGGGTAATGACCCCCTTTTTAACAACAGCAACAATCACCAAATAATTGGACAAATGTTAAAGGTTCACAAAAGATGTGCGTACATGTGAAGCTGAGTATATGTCACCGGTACGAAACCCTCTATTCAGTGTATCCAGCACTGCATTTTCGATTCTCTGGGCTGTCTCCGCTTCCCCTAGGCCATACCTCAAAAGCATAGCAGCACTGAGCACTGTTGCTAAAGGGTTTGCTTTATCCTGCGCATTGGTGCCAAATATTATAAAAATATATAAATGCCCACAGTAATTTGTAAAATTGAAAGATTTTTATTTTAGATGAAAGAAAAAATAGAACTGTGTGCATCCAACCTGTCCAGCAATATCAGGAGCAGAACCATGTATGGGTTCAAACAGTCCAGGTCCCTATAGATGACAAATGCCACAAAAAGAAAAGAGAGAAAAAGAGAGAGTAAATAATAACCATTCTATGACAACGAAAAACACAAACGATTCCTTCCAAACAGAAAATGAAATTGTTTTGTAATGAAAGCAAATGATCGGCCGATACCGATTCGCCAAGACTAGCAGACGGAAGCATCCCTATGCTTCCAGTAATCATCGAAGCCTCATCCGATAAAATATCACCAAATATATTATTTGTTACAATCGTATCAAACTGCAATAATTTGTAGCTAACACTTCAGTTCTATCAACAAGTTCTGAATAAGCCTAAAATAGAATGAAAAGATAAAATTATGCAGCAAGTGTTTCGAAGATGAAGACGAACCTGTTTTGGATTGCGAACAAGCTGCATTGCAGCATTGTCAACATACATGTGTGAGAGTTCAACATCAGGGTACTCTGAGGCTATTGCCATAACTCTTTTCCTCCAAAGCATTGATGCCTGGCCAATCTCATGAAGATGAAACTTCATCAGCATGTTTTTACATTTTGGACTTTAGCTTCGTGTATATCATCTATGTTCCCACCACATAAGCATTTCCCAAAAGCACTTTGACAAACTGATAACAGTGCACCCACTATGATACAATTTGCAAAGTTGGTAATGCATTATGAAATAAAAGTACTGTTAGAACTGACTTATGCTATTCCTCGTTTATTTATTTTTTACTTGGGGAGGAAGAAGAGGGAGAGGGGAGAAGAGCAAAGACAAAAATGAGAACAAATGATTGTTAGAGAACCTATCCATCAAAAACATCCACAAATACAACAAAAATGTTCCAAAGGCATAAGATGTGAAAAAATACAAAAAAGGAAGCCTCCCTATCCAGGAATTCGTGGCTTTTGACCAGAGAAACACCTCAGGGATCAGTTGATGTCCAATTTGATCAATTTGAGAACAGTTTCAGTGCATCGTACCCATTCAAAGGCACTCATAGAGTTGTTAGGATGCAACACTGTACTGAAGAATATAAACCGAGAGAGGTTAAGATGGTTTAGTCACATGCAACAAAAATTAGTAACTGTACTTGTATGAAGAATGATACGGTTCACACTAAAGGCAGTGCTACAGTTGAATGCCAAAAGCATAGTGAGGTAGTAAGGAAAGACATGATGGTAGTGTATGATTTAACAAAACTATGGCCCTAAATGAACTACTATGGCAAAATAATATTTGTCTAACCAAGACCAAATACTCGAACATTGTTTTACTAAGCCCAGTTAAGCTGAGTTAGTGTATTGGAATACAAGATAGATGTGCCACATCCATGAAGGACATCTAACTTTCCGCCATCAATGTGTATTTTGTAAATAATGTCATTCCATCCCCCTGCCAATGATTCATTGTCTTTTAGCAATATAAGCTCCAAAATCTATTAAGCTAAACATTAATGATAGAAAGAATAACATTTTTTTTATGCTCTTGATGAACAAGAGTGTTCAATGGCATCAAACGGTACTCAAACATGCATCATACAACAGGATCCAGGAAAGAGGCATCCAGGAGAACCAGGACTCATATTTACTGAGGAATCAACAAATGAATCACAGATAATGAAATCCCTCCCTGAAAGCTACACATACAAAGCACTAAGCACCACATGCTCCAACTCATGGCTTGGCATATCCTAAGAACATTGATGGTTGCTCTCTGGGAAACTCCATGAAGTACAAATATCAGGGCTCATGCATGAAATGCAGTGGAGTCAAATTTCCTCCTGCAAACTTGCCACATGGAGGATTCTGATAAACCAGAGTTGCTTAGCTGATTGCCACCTGATGTCTCAAAGGAGCTAAATCTTTACACTCCACAGACATTTTTATTTTTTATTCTATAAATGGGACTCGGAGGACATCACCAGATGGGAAAAATGGATAATTGACCTATCCATACCCTTAGGTTACAGTTTCTTCAGACCAGCAACTATATTCTAGGTTTAGATAGAGCACCGTCATTGGAGTGTTATAGTGAGAAAATAAAGTCAAGCCACAAGACATTTAAGAAGAAGAAGAAAGAGAAAAGGAATATAATCTAAAGAATAAGGCCAAAGAGAAACCAAACAAGAAATAGTCCATTCTACTATCTACAGTAACTTCTCCTTCCATTCTCTGGACAACATTTATTCAACATCAATATCATAAGATATAATTCTATCTCAGAATATAAAAATGAACAACAATTAAACAGAAGGAAATTAAAGACACTTTCTATGACATAAACAAAAAACAAATCTAAAACATAACTCATTTGCAAGGAAAATTCTTGCTCCACTTGCTCCACTTATTTCTAACAACAGTATCAGAAGAAGACACACTACTTTAGCAAATGAATACAAAACATGCAATTGAAGAATAAATGGGGAGTGATTTCCATATCATAAATCCAAAAGAATCTCTTCCATAGTCCATATATATATATATTTGATAAGTTCCATAGTCCATATTTTCAATGGATAAAACAGAAGAAAACAAGTTATTGATCACATAAACGGAGGCCAGACAACACGAATAACTTTTCAGTCTAACTATTATGGCCGCATGACTTTCGTGCAAAACCAGCAAATCATTAAAATATCTTGCGTCTCTTTCAGGATATAGATTATAATAGAACCAAATAGAAATCTTTCCTGAGTAACACATAAGTTACAAAAAAAAAAAAAAAAAAAAGTGGAAACAGAAAAGAAAGGAAATGAAGAGAGAGAGAGCTTTACTATTCAACAGACCTCTAAAACATTTGCTTTATCAACAGAACAAAGTTTCCCATGCCGCTTCCGAGCAGTCTCAAATGCAATGCGAGCAATGCGATCAATCTGGCAAGAAAAATTTTCATGTCAAAGAAACAATTGTGCAGAAATTTAGTATATAATAAAATAGATAACGAGGAGGAAAATAGGAATCCTTAAAACCTAGGGGCTGTTTGGAAGAACCTATAAATTTGGGTCCGTTTATGACCAGACTTGATTTTTCTTTGAAAGATAAGGTGGACCCAACCTAATCCACTTTAAGAAGTTATCAAACATGCCCCAAATCTGAACAAGAAAAACCCAGGTGCAAAGCATTAATAAAATTGGTAAGAAATATTATGTTCTTTTTCAGCTGCACCAGGATATTAATTTTCCCACCATCCCTTTGTCTCACCTTCATTACCCATTACACAACATATGTAGTGCAAAAAATAACAGTCCTTGAAATATCAAATAAGAAATTTGAACTTGCAAACACCATAGATCTTGTTTCACACTTCCAAAAACTAGCCATGAATGAAACCTTAAATAACACTTTTGATTGGTCTTGACTAAATTAGGGTAGCCAAACAGAAAAAAAGAAAGAAAGAGAGAAAAAAGAAGAAGAAGAAGATAAGGAAATTTTATTTATTTATTTATTTTTTTTGATAAGTATAAGGAAATTTAAATTTGAAAATATATGTAAATGGTTTTCCCGTATCATGTTCCACAATTCAAAAGCATTAAAAAATCTGGCATTTGTAACAAAAATTCAATAATAAATGGTGGTTGTAGCAGAAGAAATACCTCATAGGCCGCATACACCTCAGTGTTGAAACCAATCTCCTCACCATTTTCATTTGTGCTAAAACCCCTAGGTTTTCCAAAATAAATACCTATACAACCAAAACAAATTTATAGCATAAAAACCGAGAAAAATAAGTATAAAAAGAAAGAAAATAAAAAAAAATAGAACTGCAGAAGATTCAGTCCAAGTAAGCCCAGCTGTGATTAATGCATGCTAACCTCCTGTAAGTTCCCTTACAACCATCAGGTCAACTCCTTCAGCAATCTCTTTCTTCAAAGTTGAAGCATCCACTAACTGAATTAGGTGAGACACAAAGGATGAGAGTCTAAAAATGAAAACTAACAGCCAAGGTATATTCACAACATATAATATTGGATAGAAAAAGAGTGCAATAATATATATGTATATATACACAAAAGATTTCATCTATTTTTTTAAATGGTCAATCATAGACTATCATTCTACAAATAAACTGCTTAACTTTTTACTGATTGCAGGAATTCCTCATAGCACGGGCTTCTTAAAAGTCAATAAAGGGAAATTTTCCTATGATAAAGTTGTGCTGTTACATGCAATGTAAATTAGTAGCAGCAAGGTCCATACCGTGAGTTTGGAAATTGATGGATGAACTCACCACATCCAGCTAATCAATCATTAATCTATAACTAGGATGGTAAATAGATCAATTACTGCAGATAATAAACTCATAAATATAGGAAGCATGGAATTTGGATTCGATTATTACCATGTCCATAAATAAATAAATAAACAAAAGAACTCAAGAATCCTTGAGAAAAGCAGGAAAAAAAATTAGTTTTACTCGTTTCAATATATTTATATTGTGATTGTCCACGGAAACCCCCAAATAAATAAATAAATAAATAAATATATATATATATATATAGATTTGACTGAAAGACCAGTTAATCCTAAGCTTAATGTAGAAAAATATAACCAATGGAATGACCTTAGTTTGAATCACAAACTATTTACAACACACCACCAAGGGCCCGTTGGCCAACTGATTCTGTTTTGCATTTTCAATTTCACATAATGTAGAAATGATGTTTTTGCTATGGTGTGATTTATTCTGAAAAAGAAACATGTTGGGTAACAAATTTGTTGAACAATGTTCCAAAAGAAAGAAAATGAAAAAAAAAGTTTGATCATTGCAAAATATATATATATATATATATGGTATTTAGATTATAATGGATTTTTAAAAATTCTTGTTACTATAGCAAAAAAGAAAAAGTAAAGTGAATACATCTTTTTCTTGCTTCCAGATATGGAATTTTTTCTAAAGCAGGTGTGGTACTGTACAAAATGTAACAAATGTTACCAAACATGCTTTTGTCATTTGTTTCTGTTTTCACTGATTTGACAACAAAAACAAAAAACAGAAATGGTTGCCAAGTGGCCCTAAATTTAGATGAAGCAGTATATAACAGAAAAGATCAAAATTGGAATGCTTTTAAAGTTATTAACAAATGATGACCTGCGGCAGAACAGTAGCTGGCCTCAAATTCGCGAAGACCTTAAGACCCTCCCGAAGCTGAAGCAATCCAGTCTCCGGCTTCAAATGTTTTTCATTATTGTCCCATTTATACCTTATACAACCCAATAAATAAATAAATATTCAAATTATAAAACACTCAATAGTATAATTCTAAACAAAAATCAGTTAATTATATATAACAAATATTGTGGAAAATAATTAAAAATAATCACCCTCCAATTGCTCCAAGCAGAACAGCATCAGACTGCTTGGCAGCCAAAAGGGTTTCCTCCGGTAATGGAACTCCACACAAATCTAACGCGGACCCTCCAACAGGCATCTCCTTGAAACCAAATTCAATTCCTAAAACAACCAAATGATGCACTAGTGTTAAAACCCTAAACCCTCAAAATTATCAACCTTAATTGGTGAGAAAGCACAAAATAAGTAAAATAATCAAAATTTTGAATCCTAAAATTCTCATAATTTATGACCTCCGAAAACAAAATAAGATACCCAACTTTCTGCTGTTTCTGCTATGTTTTCTCAGTAACCAAACGGAAATTAAAATTCTGAATATATTTTTCATCATTTATGACCTCGGAAGACAATATAAGATAGTCCAGTCAACTTTCATTCGCTTATCCTTTGCTTTCTCAGTAACCAAACGGAAAATAAAAATTGGGTTTTTGAGATATGGGAGCTAAAGTACCGTCAAGAGAACCAGCGAGCTTGAGGACGTCCTTGGCGACAGAGATGACTTCGGGGCCAATGCCATCGCCGGGAAGCAGAGTGATGGTGTAGCGTTTCGACGGTGAGGTGGCGGAGCAGCGGATCGAACCCAATCTAGGGAAGTGTTTGGATACAGATTTGGAGGGGAATTGTTGGGGTTTGAAGGGTCTGACACCGATATTGGAAGAGGATGCCATTGTTGGGGGTGCTTTTGCAGTTGCTAACTGTGACCGATCTTGAGAAACAGTGGAACAAGTTGATTTATGACGCTATATTAGGGTATTTGCCATCAAAACACTATCCGACCAGTGTGCCTAGCCACTAATAAATAATTCCGAAATTTTGAGTGTACTAAAGATGTGTAAAAAAAAAAATTTGGACCAAAGCGAGTCAATGTGTTTGATAAACTATCATTGAAAACATCACTTAAAATAAAAAAATATTTTTAAAAAATATTTAATTTTTAATTAACAGATAAAAACATCAATACTTAAGGCTTTGTTTCTATGTAAAACATCTTCCTCATAAAATATTTTATTTTCAAATAATATATATATACTTTTCTGTGTGAGGTTGAATTTATCGGGTAAATTATTTTTGTTATATTTTAATAAATTATTTATTTCGTAAATATTTTACTTAAATTTTTAAGAATCAAACACCCAAAAATTAAAACATATTTTACATCCAAACAAAACGAAACATTAGTTCTTAAAATTTTCAGTTTTATCAAACAGCACAAACAAGTCATCCTAGTGTAATTTGGTAAAACCGAAAAATTAGGTATAAAAAATTTTATGCGGTAATTAAAGAACAAATATTTTATGATAATTTTTTTATATATATATTTCATTGTTTAGCATTTAGTAATAAAGTGTTTGTTTGATAATTCAATTACATGCTTAATTCTTAAGGGATTAAGCCTTATCCCAATTAAGTGAATCTCCCAATTAATAAAGCAATGAATGTCACCTATCACCAAATGCTAAGAGAATTTCCAGCAGTGAGTTAAAAGATCATTTTGTGAAAATTTGTGTAAAATATACACAATGTTAAATTTTTTTTTTTTTTTAATCTTCCAACAATATATTAAAATACATTGCCGCCATCTCATCAATGTATAAATTGTTGTCTATTTTGCACAACTTTTTTACATAAATACATAAACATATTTTATCTCTCCTCCTTCTTTCTCATTCCATTAAAATGATACAAATATGTTTGTAAAAATGATGTGAAGTCTTAGGCACGAAATATGTTTGTTATTATTGACAATTTTCACACAAAAGGTATAAAACAATGGCTAAAGCTAAAAATAATAGTTCAAATTTTTATTTTTATTATTATTTTTTTGTGTAAATCTATTATAGCACATCAGATTTACTATATATATGTATATATATATCTATATACACACACACATATTTTTAATTACCACTTAAAAATTTATAACTTAAATTCACTTTTAAAATTTTCAATTTTATCAAATAAGACCTTTAATTTGCTTTATCAAACATCATTTTACTTTAAGTGATATGTTCAAATTTTATTATAAAAAATAATTAATCTTTTTTTTTTTTCCTGGATAAAAAAGAATTAATTGAATTAAGTATTAAATTGAGTTCAGATTACAAATACGCTTAATTAAATAAAATGCTTAATCTATTTAAAATTACGCATTAATTTGTTTTATCAAACATCTTTTACTCTGGCATCATATAGATTCGATTTAGATCCATGTAATGATATTAAAGTCGGTGAAATTGAGTTAGGGTAAATTACACACTTTCCCCGAGAGGAACCAAGCAATTAGCTCCATCTTCACTGCCCCGAGGTCACTTGGCAGCACATCAAAGATACTGAAAAACAAAACCAGCTCTTTGCTTCCACAAATTACTCTCTCTATTAGCCAAAAAGTCCAACAATCATAAAGTAAAACAATCAAGAATGCTTTCTTCAATATCGTATCGATGCCACTCCTTTCGCTGGTCTCAGTCTCTGCTCTCTCACATCCAAAGTCTCCTCAAGTTTCACACTTTCCCATCAACAGATCCATCTCTTTCTACAAAACCTTCTAAACCGAGTTCATCTTCTAATCACGACAGTCCAAAATCAGTGTTAAATTCTATGCTTCTGAACAATTCGATTCACAAACAGTCAATCGCCGCCAATTCGCTCGATTTCGACCAGAACACGGTGCTCGAAACAATCTCGTGCTATGGCAATGATTGGAAACGATCCTTTGAATTTTTCAACTGGGTCGAGACTGAATCTGGGTTCAAACACAGCACGGAGACCTACAATCGAATGATTGACATTTTGGGTAAGTTTTTCGAGTTCGATATTGCATGGAATCTAATTGAACGAATGAAAAAGGACGTGTATGCATATCCTGATCATACCACATTTCGTATAATGTTCAAGCGCTATGTATCTGCACACCTTGTTAATGACGCAATAAGTACATATGATAGAATGGAAGAATTTAATTTGAAGGACCAAATGTCGTTTTCGAATCTTATTGATGCATTGTGCGAGTACAAGCATGTATTTGAAGCAGAAGAGTTGTGCATAAAGAACAATAACAATGACAAGAACTTGCTTTTTAGTGCAAATACGAAGATTCATAATATGATTCTTCGTGGGTGGTTTAAAGTTGGTTGGTGGCGTAAATGTAGAGAGTTTTGGGAAGAAATGGATAGAAAATGTGTTTGTAAAGATTTACATTCGTATTCGATATATATGGATATACAATGCAAGAGTGGTAAGCCATGGAAGGCTGTGAAATTGTATAAGGAGATGAAGAAGAAGGGAATTGAATTGGATGTGGTGGCGTATAACATTGTTATTCGTGCTATTGGTATTTCTGATGGTGTTGACGTAGCAATTTGGCTTTTTCGTGAGATGATAGAACTGGGTTGTGAACCTAATGTAGTAACTTATAATACAATAGTGAAGCTTTTGTGTGAAAATGGGAGGGTGAGGGAAGCATATAAAGTGCTTGATCAAATGTCCAAGAAGGGTTGTGCTCCAAATGTGATTACATATCATTGCCTTTTTGGATACCTTGAAAAGCCTAGAGAAATTTTGAAGCTGTTTGATAGGATGATTGGAAGTGGTGTTTGTCCGAGAATGGACACATATGTGATGCTTATGAGAAAATTTGGTCGATGGGGTTTTCTTCGGCCAGTTTTTATTGTGTGGAAGAAGATGGAAGAGCATGGGCTGAGTCCGGATGAATTTGCTTACAATGCTCTCATTGATGCTTTGGTGCAGAAGGGTATGGTAAATATGGCTCGGAAGTATGAGGAAGAAATGTTAGCGAAAGGGCTTTCAGCTAAGCCAAGGGCAGAGTTGGGGACAAAGCTGGTGAATGGAGAATCTGAAGAAGGTTGATTGGAACTGTAGGTGTACTTGAGGACGGATGGTTACAAAACCGTGTTCATGGATTCAGAGCATGAGTTTATTTTCACCTCACCCATATGTTAATTAGAAAAAAATGGAAATTAATTGTTATCAATCTGGATGATGCTCAAAGGACATGAGTGGTTTTAAATTGTGATACAGAGATGTCAGCTGGAATGCACTTTTTGGGTACAGACCAGTAACTTCTTCATGAATGAGCTGTACCTTCTTCAATCACAGATTTTACATTTGGAGTATGAACTCTGTGCTTTACTGTTTTCAAATGATTGCAAGAAGTGCTGAATACATTTTCATATCTTGGGAAATCTGAATTTTGGTTCCTGTAAACTTCAGTGGTAGCAGATCAGACCATCTTATGCTGAATGTGGGACAAAGTGCATTGAAGAATTGAAACAGCATGGGGAAAAACGAGTCTTTTGACTAATTTGGCATATTCAATGTCAATCTCACGTCTGGTAACTAAAATCTTAAAGCCCAAACCCGTTGTTTCATTTTATTTATGAGAAATATCCACGTGTATTTGTAGAATAGATATGTTTTGAAGTAAATCTTGGACTTGTGAAAGTTAAATTTGTTAATTTTATGCGATAATTATCAAATTTTATAAATTACCCTCACTTGGTGCAGTGGTTAAAGCTTGGGCTGCCAAGCAGGAAAACATGAGTTGGAGTCTAGCTGCAATTACACTGTGCAAAGAATGTCTAAGGTTAGATCTGTTGCTACATGATAATATGACCTGATAATGAATGGTTTTTTTTTTTTTTTTTTTCTTTAAATTTAAAAAAAGAAAAAGAATTATTTTCTTAGTAACTTTGGTGTTCAGTATCTAAATAGAGATGTCAATCTCTCAGATGCTTAAGTTGAAATACTGTGCAAAATTTGGGAAGATTGTGTGCAAGGAATTCACATGCACCTAGACCTCCGATGAAATTCTTTCATATTAGAATTGATAGGTGCAGCCTTTTACAAACTAAGTATATTAAAACAAAAGGAAGAAATTTCTCGCATTTTTTACCGGGAAATTTAGTTAGTCAGATGAACTTTTGGGGAGTGAGCTACCGTTATTTTTCAATTTAGACATTGTGCTGAATCAGTCCAAGAAAAACACTGAATTTTGGTCTTCTAATAAAAAAATTCTTCCAATTTTATTAGGCTGAGAATTGCCTGCTGAAAACATCTTACAGTAATAAGGAGGAGGCAGTAGGTCTTGAACAGAAATGCTTTCAGGATGGGTTTCAGGTCAATTTTTAAATGGTTTGAGCTCTATGTTTATTGTTTTTTTTAAGAAAATGAGAAAACTGTTTGGCAAAAAAAGTCACTTGACTGGTTAATTCTAATGGGCATTTTGCATTGATTCAATGGCCAAAATGCTTCTTTGATATATTTTCTCTTTTTATTGTTTTGCACTTGTAAATTACAACAATATCCTTGGACAAGAAAGCTAGAAGTAGGGTCAAATAGTTTATTTTTTTCTCATAATTCACAAGTACTTTCTTCTCTGCTCATTATTCTCAGGTTCTCGTTGTTTTTGACTCACGTGTTTAAATCTCTTCTTATTGTGTTGTATATCATATAAAAACTTGAATTGATGGTCTGATCAAAGAATAATTAAGAATGAGATTTTCTGATTTTTGAGAAATCGTTGTTCCAATTCAATTTAGCATGTCCTCTTTTTTTAATTGTTCATTGTTTAGTTGTTATGATTATTGTTAGTTTTTTCTAGTATTTCTGTTTTAGTAGTTAACTTATATTGTTTAATTATTTGATTGGTTATTAGTTTACTAATATTTAAGCTTTATTTTATTTTATTTTTAAAAACAAATTTTGTACTTCAATTAAATTTAATACTTAAAATACATAAGGTGGATTACAGGAATAGAAATACCACAATTAATCTAGATGAGGAGAATGAATTAAAAATGGAATACATGGTTCCCTACTTTCTCCACAGGGACACCAAGGTTGTGTCAATCTTGTCATACTTCTAATCCCTTTGCACCCTCATCTCAGCGACTGAGGTTTCTGCACCATCATCTATAAGAAGAATTTCAGACGGTACTATTCAGCTGCTCCTTATCATGCTGGGAGCAGTAGCTGCAAATTGATCTCTAGTCGTAATAGAAAATCCAATAGCTGTTATTCAAAACACCCTTCTCTTTTTTGCTTCTAGTTTTCGTAAGCTAGAAAACCACTTTGATAGTAAATGCACATGATATGAGACAAAAGAGGCTGGTTTCTTTTACCAAAAGATAAAAGAGCTTAAAATTTGTGTGTGAGAACCAAAGTTAAACAATTGCTAGACAGAGTCTTTCTTCTCCGCCACCAAAATCCTTTTTTTTTTTTTTTTTGATAAGTAAGATTTTATTGAAAACACTCAAAAAGGGAGCGGATCCCAAAGAAACACAAGGGCCAAAAGGCGCCTCAAACCTTCAAAAAGGCCAAAAAAACAATAATCTCCTAAATAGATCTATAATCTCTCCCTGAGACCCAATAAAAAAGAGTAGAAATGATAGGGAACTTAAGCATAGAAATAGGTTTCTCCTTTCCCTCAAAATATTTCCGATTTCTCTTGAGCCAAATGCACCACCAAATACAAAGAGGCGTAGCCCTGCAGGCATCCTGCACGAGAGCCCCAATAGAGACACCTCTCCAAGCCTCAATTAACCCTCTGGAGGAACAAGGCATAACCTAAAAGACACCAAATAATCCAAGCATCAAATCCCAATAGTCTCTGGCCTTGCTGTAATGCAAAAGAAGGTGATCAACTGTCTCCTCATCGCACAAGCACATATAACATCGATTGATCACCACCTGATTCCTTTTCTTCAAATTATCCTGGGTTAAAATCTTACCCAGGACGGAAGTCCAAGTAAAGAAAGCTACCTTAAGGGGGGCCTTAGAACGCCAAAGAGGCTTTTAGGGGAAAGGGCCTCCGGTGCGGACCAAAAGGCACCTAAAAAAGGACCTAACCTCGAAACGGCCCTGAGAGTTAGGAACCCAAATCCAACAATCTGGTTCCCCACCAGTGATCACCTGGCGATATAAAACCTCTGAAAAATGAGTAACCTCCTTAATCTCCCAGTCCTGAAAGTGCTTCCTCAAGGTGATAACAGTCAACCACCATGGCCTATCTATGAGAAGCAATCCTATAAAGCCGTGGAAAAGCGAGGGCAAGGGGAGTCTCCCCACACCAAAGATCCTCCCAAAATCTGATCCTCTTGCCATTCTTGATCCGAAAACGAACCTGCTTGCAGAAAGCATCCCACCCCCTCCGAATGAAAGTCCAAACCCCCACCCCCTTAGGACCACGCACCTTAAGAGAGCACCACCCACCACTGCTCTCCCCAAACTTGCTCGCAATAACTCTCCTCCAAAGCCAATGCCTTTCAATCCCAAACCTCCAAAGCCATTTACCAAGGAGGGCCTTATTGAAAGGCAATAACCTCCTAATCCCTAAGCCTCCACTCCAAATCGGGCAGCACACATGATCCCACCGAACCAGATGATACTTGAACTCCCTTCCCCCCTCCAAAAAAAAAAAAAAAATGTTGCACTGCATCTCTTAATTCTCTCAGCTATTGAAGAAGGAATCTGAAAGAGAGTGATTAAATAAGTGGGGAGGCTAAAAAGAGGGGAGGCTAGAAAGTGTGCTCTTAATCAGAATGACCCGACCCCCCTTGGAGAGGTAGTAGAGGTACTGCTTTTCCAACCCGCCAACCTCCTCTCAAATCTATCCACAACCGGATCCCAGCTCCTACACATCTCGAAGGGGCTCCCAAAGGCAACCCTAAGTAAGAAATGGGAAAAGAACCAGTGTTACATCCAAGAATCTGAACAAATATCTCAATCTCAGGAACATCCCCAACAGGCACAAGAACGCTTTTACCAACATACACCTTAAGGCCACAGACAACTTGGAACTAAATCAAGACACATCTCAAATATCTCAGTTGGGACGCATCTGCATCACAAAGCACTAAAGTATCATCCGCAAACATCAAGTGGGAGATCTCCAGTTGACTAGCAACATCCCTGTCCACCCGAAAACCTTTCAAAAATCCCAACTCCACAGCCTTCTTCAACAATCTGCTAAGAGCCTCCATCACAAAAAGGAACAAGAAGGGAGAAAGCGGATCACCTTGTCTCAAGCCCTTCGAACAGAGAAAAAACCCGTCGGGGCTCCATTCACAAGGACAGAGAATCGAGCATTAGAAATGCAAAAAAGAATCCATCTCCTCCAACACCCACCAAACCCCATCCTCTCCAATAAGTAGAGGAGGAAGCTCCAACTCACATGGTCATAAGCCTTCTCAATATCCAGCTTGCATAAAATACCTGGAACCCCACAACTCAAACGGGAGTCCACACATTCACTAGCAATAAGAACGGAATTCAAAATCTGACGACCTCGCACAAAGGCATTCTGAGAGTCAGAAATGATGCCATCCATAACCTTCCTCAACCTAGTGGCCAAGACTTTAGCAATCAACTTATAAAAACAACCCACCAAACTAATAGGGTGAAAATCCCTAACATCCAACGCACCTCCCTTCTTCGGAATAAGAGCAATAAAAGTGGCATTCAAACTCTTCTCAAAAGAACCCTGATCATAGAAGGCGTGAAAAGAGCCCATCACCTCCTCACGGACCACCTCCCAGCACTCCAAAAGGAATCTCATAAAAAATCCATCTGGACCTGGGGCTTTATCCCCATTACAACTCTTCAAAGCAAACAAAACTTCCTCCTCCGAAAATGGCTCTTCTAGAATAGAGCACTCCTCACTCGAAATAGAGTCAAAGTGATGCCCTACAAGCAAAGGTCGCCATCCAGCTAGTTCAGTGAATAACCTCGAAAAGTAATCAGTAAAACCCTTTTAAATCTCCTCCTCCTCACAAAAAATCACCCCATCTACCCTAATCCTCCCAATGTAATTACCCCTTCCTTGAGCCACAGAGCTCTAGACTTCTGCCTCCACGAAATCTCCTCCATGACAGCGATCTCAGCAAACTATGCCTGACATTCCACCCTCCTAAGCTTCAAGGGAACCAGCAAAAGGCCGTGACCCTCCATCCTATCGATATCAGCAATCTTAAAAAGCCCGATTCTTTCTCCAAGTCAGATTTTTGAAAACCTCTTTGTTCCACACTTTAAGATCATTCTTCAAAAGACGCAACTTGCCTATGATAGAATGACTAGGGGTACCAACCACTCCATACCCCACCCACCAGGATTGGACTCGCTCCAGAAAACCCTCAGCCCGAAGCCACATATTCTCAAATCTGAAAGGGGACCTTCTGCTACGCATCCCACCACAATCGAACATCAACGGAACTTGGTCAGACAAAGGGCGAGCTAAAGTGGTTTGAACAACATCAGAAAACTTCTCCTCCCAATCACTCGACAAAAGGAATCTGTCAAGTTGAGAGAGAGTAGGAGGAGAGCGACCACTGGACCAAGTGTACGGCCCACCCACCAAAGGCAAATCAAACAAACCATAAGTGTCAATGAACTCTGAGAAGGACATCATGTCGGCTGTCCACCTGCCCCCTGATGACCTCTCAAAAGGAGAGCGCACTACATTGAAATCCCCACCTATACACCAAAGCAGCGACCATCTCCTACGAATCTCCCCCAACTCCTCCCAGAGCAAATGACAAACACAATCCTCTGAAGGACCATAGACGCCAGAAAAAACCCAACGAAAACCATCATCCACCAAAGAGAGAACGCAAAAAGCTGAGAAAAGCCCAACCTGAGAATCCAACAAAGACACCCACCGGTTATCCCACATAATCAGGATACCACCCAAAGAGCTAATCTCATCCAAAGCAAACCACTCCACAAATTTCCCTCTCCACAAGCTTTGAACAATCCCATCCGTTATCGAGGCAATTTTGGTTTCTTGCAGGCACACAACATGCTCACCCCCTTTCCGAATCACCGATTTCACCACTTTCCTTTTAGCTGGGTCGTTGAGTCCCCGGACATTCCATGAAAGAATTTGTAGCTTTATAGGGAAACAGTAGAAATAACAGTCTCTCCCCTCCTTCCACTAGCCCTCTCCCTAGACCCCCTACTCCTCTTTTCATAAGTAACAAAAGTCGAGCCTCTCCTCCCTCCCCACTGGGAAACTCCCGTTATTTCCCATTCTTTCAACAAATTGAGTATTGAGAACATCAAAAAATAAACTTGTCACCTCCTCCATCCGACCCTCAAAAGAAACTCCCAAAATAGAACCCACCTCAACTCCCGTTTCCCTTACCCAATCATTCTCCAAGGCAGCCACACCTGCATCAAAGCCATTCCCATCCACAAAGTCCCCTTCCGGTCTGACAACAGCCAAAGGGGTAAGCAACTCAAAATCAGACTCACATCCATTCCACATAACCAAACCCAGATCCTCATTTAAGCGGGAACACGACCCATCCTCCCCAATCCCAACAGCCGACGAGGATGGAGAACAGCAAGACTACGGAGTCCCAAACACTTCATCAGCTAAGTGACCACTCTGCTCGTTTTGAAGACCTTTCAAAGCAAGATGAGCCCGCAATTCATTCAAAAGCATTGCAGCAGTATCATTATCCAGAGCAATCTTCACATCACATCCCACATAAACAGTAACACTCTCTCCCTTGCACTCAACAGAACGAGAGTGGCTAAACCCATCAACCTTACAGCCCCCAAGCAAATCACCCCACCCATTCGCCAACCCATCCTCAAAAGCCGAGGAAAGGTTTTTGGACACAGAATTCAGCCTCTCTGAGGACTTACTCACCATAACCGAAGAAGGAGAAAATGGAGCGGATGAAGGAGCAATAGAAGAAAAGTTTTGTTTAGAGCCAGACTTACCCGGATCAAGAATAACACAAGGAACCTACTTCTGTTTTTCCTTCCGAGTCCATCTTCGTCAAAAGGAAGGAAGAAGAAACCGCTTCTTAGACTTCAATTGGTGACCCTGCGGTGGCTTCCTAGCTTGCCAATCAACTGTGACAGGAGATGAACCAGCCGGCTGGGCCGATGGACCATCAACTGATGCAGAGAGTGGTCTAAAGCGGTTAGCCACTTCAAGACTAGAACAAACAGGCCCAACCAATTCATGCTGAGAACCCTGCCAAGCCACAGTGCCACAACCCAACCCAACAGAGGGACCATTCGTGGGTAGAGACACATCAGTTTGGGCCGCCTTACCTTTAACAAGACCACAACGCACCGGTTCATGCACAACATTAATAAAAGGCCCAGAGACCGGCCCACAAGGAACATGAGCCCGCACATCCAAATCTCCAATCGCTGGCCCATTAGCAAGCCCACCAACACATGATGTCAACTTCTCCGTGCTTGGCCTTACAAAAGAATTTGAATTGACACCAGCTGTATCCCACTTGGAACGGGTCACACTTCTGCGCCAACCACGTGTAAGGGAATCTTTTCTCCCCCACCCACGCTCCGGCTGCGCGTGAAAGCCACCTCTATGAAGACTCCTATCCCATCTCTGTAACTGATGGCCAAAACCTAAACCGCCGCCCCTTTGAACATACCGACCACCAACCGACGAAGAAGAACTTTCTCGCCTTTTCTGAGTGAAGCGTCGTCTAAAACACACTGTTGCGTTCCCAAAGATTATCCCTCCTTCCTTCCAATGCCGGAATTCAGCCATCCCCTTTTCACCGATAGAAACCCATCTCAACCACTCCACCTCCTTCAGCAAGTATCCATCCCCACCCTCCAAGCTATCAGTTGTCGGGACAAGTTAAGGAGGCATTTCCTCCCAAACAGCCACCTTATAGCAAAAGCGGTCGTCATGAACAAAGATGAACGGCGGGCAAGCACAACCGTCAGACACAGTGATTCGAACCTTCTCAGCATTAAGGGACTCATCAACATCCACCCAGATGAAACCTCCACACAAATCCCCAATCATCACAAATAGAGCGTGACTCCAAAGGTGCAAAGGGAGGCCGTACAATGTCACCTTCTTCAACCTTTGCTCTTTCAAAACGTTGGAGCAACCCACTCTGAAATTCCACGAGTCCACAGAAAGGGTAGCCTTCCCCCAGTCACGACGCCCCCCCTTGAGCACTCTTTCTGCTTCCGCCGAAGAGGAAAACGGAAGAGGAGCAAAGAGTCCGGCAGAGGTGACACAACCACCGCTGGAGACACATTCCAAGCACGCGAGGCCCAATCTGCAATCTGAGCCCTATATCCCACTTCTTTGTCGAATTTCCCAACCAAAGATGACCTCAGATCCTCCCTTCTCTTACCCACTGAGTCACCGTCCAAGAAAAACGACGCCCCTCTGTACGTAGAAGCAGATCTCACAAAGCCTCCTTGGAACAAACGTGGAAGACTCGCAACCTCCAAGAAAGAAAGCATAACAAAACCCAAGCCACAAGAGAGGAAAGAGAAAAATCAAGGAAAGTAACTGAGGATTTCACTGGAGTAGATGACTCCGGTGACTGGTCGGAGCAGTAGGCTCTCCGTTACCGGAAGCTTTCTCTCTCATGTCCGTCGAAGTTCTTCTCCGCCACCAAAATCCTATTCACTAGCAGAAGAAACCATTGCCTTTGGTAAGCTCAAATCAGTGAGAAAAACCAATTTGAGTTTTTTGTTTTGGTCACTCACTGCCCACCAGTTTGGTTGCTTGCATATTTGTTGTGGCACCAGATCCCTCCAATCCCTCTGATTCCGGATTCAACAATATCAGGATCTTTACCAGTGAATTCCTCATTTTTTTTTATATTTTTTTTATATATTTTTTTTCTTTGTGTAAATTTATTAAATTTCATATTTCTAAATAGAAATTTTTTTTTATAGATTTTTTCTAACTTGGCTATTCAAAAGGTTTTTTTGAGTTAACGAGTGTCAATCAGTTGAGGGAAAGGAAGATTTATATTCTTAATAAAATTTATGATTTGGATAGAAGGCAGAATGCCGTGGAAGAGTCCCAGATGCTTTGAAGTGTTAATTTTGGTTGGTTTGGTACAGGTCATTGTGATGAGGGGTATCTCAACTGGTGGTTAACAGTGAAAGTCAGTGGTGGATGGTGGTTGGAAAAATATGTTGGTTAGATTATAGAGTTAAGGAAAGAAAGAAGAACAACGGCTTTGTGTTGAAATATATTTTGTTCGTACGCAGCTTCGCAAGAGAGCTGAGCAAAAATACAGAGATACATAGATTACTTTTCGTGAAGTAATAGCTTCATTACTTGATCCTTTGATATGAGGGGTCTTGTTGCTACATATATGTACCTCCCCACGGTAATGAGATCAGGAAATTTTACAGGAAGGGACGAAAAGGTTTCGTTAATTTGTGAAACCTGTTGTTCCCCTGGATTAAATTTTAATTTTTTTTTTTGATTAAAATGTGTCTAATGTTTATGTATGGACAGTGCTAAATTTGCAAGGAAAGAAGATGAGATAGAGCGTCTACTCATTGATATAGAAGAGAGAAGTGAGAGATCAAGATCGGCAAAGAAGCACAAACTTGCACCAGCGCTAACTGGAGAGAGATATAGAGATCATCCTCTGCATCTTGTTGATTTAGAAGATCTTGAGTTTCTTTTCTGAGAAGTTCATGCATGTATGCCAACGCTTTAGACAAGTGTTGTTCGTCTTGAAATTTTCCTTTCTTTGTGATTGGAGAAGTGTATATACGGTTTTCTTTTGGTAAGCATATACTATATATGTTATTACTAAAGAAAAAATAATAATACTAATAACAAAATCACATTTATTGGTTTTTCTTTCATACGGAGTATTTTGTTTTCTTAATTTTTTCTATTTTTTTTTGTGAAATCTGTTTATTTTTCCTTATTAAAAAAAGCTATGGGAGGACTAATGCTCCTCTTGAGCATATGATGTAGTGCCAAGAAGCTCATAGTGATCATGGTAGGTCTTTGTGGGTCTTCTAGTAACGAGTACAGCCAGAAATCTTTTCACCCACTCTGAGTAGCCATGATTGTGGAGGATCTTTTGTGATTCAGAAATACACCATAAAGATTGATTTCTGAAGTTCCATTGTCGTCTTCATCCCCAAGAGTTTCTTGATCGGGTTAGTGCTATTGAGAAATTCTTTAATTACAAGGAAACGCCCCAGTATCAGAAAGTGCAGCTAGTACAAACAAAGATTGAAGCGAGCTGTTAACACTATCTTCTCGAATTTTTGTTCCTTTTATTTTGTAACTAATGCTATTATTTCCTTCCTTTCTTCATTCCTCCTAGATATCTAAATCACTTAATCAGACTTTCGATTTTGGTATCAGCTTACCACAATTCTAATCCCCCGTCTCCAAAAACACACCTGACAATATTTTACAATAATGAATGCAGTGATGTTTAAAAGTGAATTATGTTAGGCAATAATTATGACGGAAAAGTTGACGAAAATTCCCAATAAGCATCCATAGACATTTTGTACGACACAACTGTGCCCAAGTTTGAAAAACCCGTTTTTCAGGAAGCCTTCTCCATGAGAGCTCCCAAAAGCTTCAGACCCTCCATCAAGAACCCACAACCAAACCATCTCAAACCACCCTTCACTACACAAACTTCTCACTACATTGCACCTTTTTCATCAGCACAGACCCAAAATCATGCACTCAAACCATCTGCAATTTCAAGACCCATCTTAACCCATAAGCCACAAGCCAATCTCCATTCTTAAGAATCCAGCCCATCAACCACCCACTTGTATCAAACCATCCTCTTCCCACCATGATTCGCCAGCAAAACGAAGCACAAAGCACAGCCTCCCCACCAACAAAACCACTCTTGCTACAAAAAAGGTGTCATTTTCTGACCATCCCCACAAAGAACCATCTATCAAGCAAACCTCCAAGTTTGTGGATGACCATAACAACATCATGGCTGACATTGATCCTCGGAACACACAAGCCTTGATTGATGAAATTTTCAGGCTAAGGGTTGAGCTGAATGAGTACAAAGGCAACTACATCTACAATCACCTCCTTGAGGAAGTGGAGTGGTTACGTGGCCTAATTGGGGATGGCCTTGCAGCTCAAGCCAAAATGAGAGCCAAGATCATAGCACTCTCTGACTAAATCATCGCCTCAAACCATTCAACCTTGCCCCTGCAAAAAGGATCTCTTGATCACCATGACAGCGATGATGCTGATTCTCCTGATCACCAAGAGGTTATCCCAGCACAGCTTCCACGGAGTGACCACTATCAACCACCAGCAAAGCTCAGTCAAACCACCACCACCAGCCACCAGAATCATCACATCAGTCTCGAGGATGCTGCTGAACCCAGTTTGAATTTGAATTCAAGACCATCCCTTGGTCCACCAGGTAATGTCCACCATCCCTTTTTCCACAGCTACCTCTCACACTAATACCAACCCTACCACTGACACAACCCCAATTGTCACATCCACACCACAACCCCCTCATACCACTGTCCCTACACTTGAATCTCACAAACCTAAATCCTCTCACCCAGTTACAAAACCCAACCAGATTGGATCCACATCAACTTGGGCCTCTATTGTCAAATCACACATAACTAGGAATCCATTACCTCCTGTTCAAGTCTCGGAACCTATCAGCCAAACCATTTGTCCACCCCCTGAAATTGAAAATGCAGGTCTATTCCTTATGAAAACAAACCTCCTTGGTTACTTTGTCCACAAGTGCCTCCCATTTGGTATGGTTAGAGACTTATCTACTGAACTATGGGCTGATAAAGGACTGCTAGAAGTAACTAGCTCAGAGAAAGGATTATTGGAATTCCACTTCTCTTCAGCTGATCAATGCAATGCCGTTCTTACTGATGGACCTTGGTTCTTAGCCAATAAGCCATCAATCCTTAGCCATTGGGAACCTACCTTCCAGAAAAAGCTTCACTCAACCATTCCTATGTGGATCAAGCTTTTTGGCTTACCATTTAATTTCTGGACTGATAGTGGACTGGGGAACTGTTGGGAAACATGCTAGTTTTAAAAACTTTATGAGGGATTTTTGTATATAGATCTTGATTCATCACCTAGAGACAAGTTTTATGCAAAAATAAATAATGATATATCATTTAATTAACAGATTGAATACTTACATCAAAGGTCTGAGTAAACCTTTAATTCTTTACTCTAAAGTGAATGTTTTCACTTATTGTAAATCCCTTAGCAAGACGCATTCTCCTTAATCTCCATCTTTTTGGTAATTGTTTTGTCTTTAGGAATCACTCATAAGCCTCCATGAATGACTTTGGAAAACTAGGCTGCTGGGAGCCTCCATTAGATTAGAACATTAACCTAATTTTCTAGAGAGAAAAAATATATTCCTTTTTCCTTCTCATCAAAATCACACCTAAAATATACATTGACCATGTATATTTATAAGCAACATAAAGATAAAGAAAAAGAAACAATAAATCATTCTCAATCTCTAATTCACATGTCTCAAATCTAACAGGATTCCAATATCAAGTTGAGCTATGAGTGAGAATCCTTTGGGCTTATTATTTTATTGACTACAATGAATTAATAATTGGTCCGGTCCATGAACCCAATTCATTTAATTCATAAATTAATTTCTACTCCACTAAAAGAAATTAATTGAACTCTAATTAAATAATAAATAACCTCTAAGTCAATGTTGCACTTTAACCCCTTTATGCTATTAGTTATCGGATAAATAAAGTCATCAATCCGACTACTTAATTAATATATTTATTTTGCTACCATTGATTATTTCTGGCTCGATCACAATAAAACATTTGTTTGACAAAAATAATAATTTAAATAAATAAATATATAATATATCATTTTGTCTAAAAACATACGAAGGTCTTCGAATTTACTTTGTGATCAACCATAATCAATACAAAAATAAATACAAGTAGTAATGATGCAAATATTGAAAATATAACCCTCTAACTATTAATTACATAACTACCCAAAGTGTCGGTCTAAGAATCCCGAAGTATCTGCCGAACAAATTAAAGTAATTATTAATTAATAAAAGAGTTTATACTTTTCTCATACTTAGGAGTCAAATGCCATGACAGTGATAGGGAGCAATTGCGTACGATGGCTCTCGCAATATATCTCAACCTAACGCGGATCTAGTTTAAGTCTTAATTAATTATGAGTCTATCCATAATTACCGATTATGAACAATTTATGATTACTACTTATATTCATGTATTGATCGCCATCACATACATAAATAAATATCTCTTGTAATCAAGTGGACACTATCAATTCTATAATGAATCGAAACATAATACATTGAATTCACCAATTGTATAAAGTATAAAAATTTCAGAAACGTCAGGAACATATGTCACTATAATCCAGATAGGAATTTGCTATGCCAAGGCATATAAATCCCAACAGTTCCCACTTGCCCTCATAGCCAATTCAAATTGCATCTAACTCCAATGTTATCTAAATGACGATCAAAATTATTGATCAATGACACCTTTGTTAATGGATCAACAAAATTGTGTTCCAATGCAATGTTCTAACCACGAGTACATTTTCTTGCCGGACAATATCATGTAGAACATGATACTTCCTCTCAGTGTATCTTGTTCCTCTATGGAACCTTGGGTCAATGGTTTGGACTACTTCTGCACTATTGTTGCAATATAGCTCAATAGGTAGGGTAGTATGCTCCATAACCTCTAAATCAGTGAGATCAAACCAAAAGGCTTCATTTGCCACCTTTAAGGCTGCAATATACTTCACCTTCAGGTTTGAGTCAGCAGTTGAAATCTGCTTAACAATCTACTAACTGATTTTCCCTCCATTGAGTGAACATTAGGGGTGCACACGGTTCCGGTTCTCACGGTTTCGGTCGGAACCGGAACCAAAACCGTTCACAATGGTTCTTAAAAAATAGAACCGGAACCGGAACTGTATAAATTAGAACCGAACCGGAACCGAACCGTAGAACCGGTTTGGTTCCATGAGAACCGTTAACCAGCGGCTAAAGCTTGCACCCGAACTGGAACAGTAA